CTAAGTAACTAACTAACTAACTAACTAACTAACTAACTAACTAACTAACTAACTAACTAACTAACCGCCTTACTCCTCCCCCCCCCCCCCACCTCCAGCCTCCGCGCGTCAGGTACCCCCGCGCGTCAGGTACTCTTTCAGTGAGGTTACACAAGCTAGCTAACTAACTACGTCACTAACTACGTCACTAACTAACTGACTAACTAACTAACTGACTAACTAACTAACTAACTAGCTAACCAATTAGCTAACTAACTAACTTCACGAACTAAGTAACTAAGTAACTAACTAACTAACTAACTAACTAACTAACTAACTAACTAACTAACTAACTAACCGCCTTACCCCTCCCCCCCCCCCGCCTCCAGCCTCCGCGCGTCAGGTACCCCCGCGCGTCAGGTACCCCCGCGCGTCAGGTACTCTTTGAGTGAGGTTACAGGTTAGCTGGGGTACAGCCTGCCTGCCCGATTGGTCTCAATCCATTTGCGCAGAATGGACAATATGTTTTTGCTACTCTACCATAATGCATGCGGACTTGCACATCAGCCGAGCTGGCATTGTCAGTCGCCATCAAAGTGATGTCAGGAGTGGGAACAATGTCCTGAATCAGTATGGCACAACTGCGCAACACACGTTTTGGTGGGCGCAGATTTTCTTAAGGAGCAACACTTAGTTCCTGGCTGCATTGTTGCCTGTAAGTTCTGCTTTGTTTGTTTCACACGTTGCTGACTCCGCTGCTGAATCGTTGTTTCTCCGGTGCACTCGCAAGACCTTGGCAGTCACCAAATCTGGACGCGTCAGGCTTCCACGGCTGAAGGGGATACGGACCTGGACGTTGAGGCCGCACGTTCAGGTTTGAAGGGGGACGTTGGCGGGTTCAGAGCTTCCATTTGCTTAAGACTTTATTTTTTTTCCCTTGTTGGTTTTAAAGGGAATCTATCAATACTAGAAATATTGTTTTACTTTTTTCTAGCGCGAGGGGCACGCTTGGCTTTTCCCTTGTCTCTTGCGGCCCAAGTCATGTGGTCCCTTATGCTTTGTTTGGTTCAGCATTTTGAGCTACATCCTGGAGTACATGGAGCTCAAGCATGCTCAGGCCAGCGGCATGTTGGCTGATTGCAGGTGGGCTTCTCATGGTTGTTCTTGGGCTTTTCCACGGGACTGTTTCGACCGCTTGCCTGAGCATCTTCTCAGGATGTTGGGCTGGAATTAATCGCTGTTGCCATTTGTCCTAATTATAAACTTAACGAGCCCTTCTTGGTTTGAATCCTAGCCAGCTGTGTCTTTCTCATCGTGGACCACATCCCCTCACTCCATTTTGCGTGACATGCTCTCACGAGTGAGGCCATCAGACAGGCTATCATCGTCGTCATGGATCCTCTTGCATAGCCCGGTGCTGCTGCCGCCTCGGTCGCTACGATCGGACCTTTGATTGGCCAGGCTCCCGGAGCGTGGTTTTCACAAGTTCTTTTCCTTGCACGGCCAATGCCTGAAGCTCATGCTAGGCAACCTCACTTGTTCGCTGAACTTCTGCTTTGCGTCACCTAGGTCCCCCAGCTAGGTGCCCTTTCTCACCCCCTTTTTTTGGTTGGGAGGGTTCCCCTACTAAAATAGACAAGACCGAAGAATATTCGGGTACCAACTTCTTGTAATCTCTTCCTGGGAGAACCTAGTCACATTTTGCTCTTCGTGGCTGTTGGAAGCTCCTTTTTTGCGGCCAAAACGTGTGATTGTTTCTCGTTTCTGGTCGCCTTAGCCAGCGGCTCATGGGACTCGCGGAGAGAACCGTTCAACGGGGCCTTGGACCGCATATCCGCAGATCCGCATCGGCAACAAGAAGGCCAAGTGCGAGGTCGTTGGCGACCAGGCGCCTGCTGGAAACTGCTTTTTTTTTGAAATTGGGGGGGGACCTATGTTTGACAAAATATGGCTTTCAAGCTGTGGAACTAGCTGTTGCATGTCTTGCATGTCTTGTTTAGCACAAAATGACTGACACCTCGCAAGGCAGCCAGGAAGCACCTACGCTGACAGCCCGGGTCAAAATAGCCATATTTGATTGCTTCGCAAGCACCAAATTGATCGATGCATGTTCATACTGCAAAACTGGTGCGAATTGGTTGAAGTGTCCGCTTTTGCTGCAGCTTTGGACTGGAACCCGTCAGGATCCGTCAGGGATCGTGGCGTGAGCCTTTTGCTGCGAAAAGTTTAGAGTGCTGAAGCTTCTGGCAAAGCGGATGTGGAAGCGCTCAGTCAATGGTAACGTACTCGACGCGACAGCCATTCACCTGAATTACTTTGACCAAAGCAGTTGGTTGTTTGCCGTGATTTCACCCAGGTCCCGCAGTAGTGCCCGTTCTCGCATTTTTTTGGGAGGGTTCCCCTACTAAAATAGACGTAGCCTTATTCTAACCTCTCTACGGGAGGACCTAGTCACAGAACGGCCGTGAGAAATCAACCTCCGAGTTTGGTTCTGTATCAAGCCGTGTCAAACAAATCTCCGTGCGCTTTACTCGGCCCCCACTTTCATTTGCTTAGTTGTTGTTTTCCCCTGTTGGTTTTAAAGGGAATCTATGACTACTGGAAATATTCTTATTTTTTCCAGGGGGCGAAAAAGCAACTGGAAGCCCAAAAAAGCGTCATTGGAGGTGCCGATTGGCGACGCCAGGTCATCTTCGTGGATGGCTTGATGGGCGACGGCTGAGATTTAAAGAGACTTGCGGTGGGCACTGCAGATTGTGACATGGGTATGGGTCAAAATCAAACCACCAGGGGATCGCAGGTTTAGTCTACTTGTCATTTGCCAAGGTTCCATTTTGGGCACTTGTTTTTGACCCACACTGAAGATCTCATCCGGGTGTTTCCTTGGTGCGATAGGTAGTCAATGCGGGAATGAACCCAGGAATTGGTGCACTTAAGGAAAACCACCAGTTGGATGGTTTATATGGGTCATTCCCTCATTCCCGGCGCACCAGCAAGTTTCTCAAAGGGGAACCCCTCCAATCGCTCCAAACAGGTGGCAGTGTTTTCGGTCATGGGATATGGGTTTGGAAACGCCCGCTGTTTGGGACACCTAGCTTTGCCAGGTTCTCTATAGCCGTTTACTCGTCCATCAGCCCCAATATCTCATCAACTAGTATGTCGTACTTGCACAGCCTTCAGGCAATTTAAACTTCCCACTGAGGAACGCAAGAAACACGTCGCGTTTAAATGGAGCTGTATGTAAAGCAGACAATCAAGTCACATTGTGTCAAGCTTGGGCGACAGTCAAATCGTGGGCTCGTCAAGCTTGCAAGATTCATGTCATTCACACTTCCCTTTGCGCAGGGGTTTAGGAGTAAGCCTACAAATGGCAGCCAAACCGCTGACCTCGGTTGTCAAGGCTTGTCAAGGTACCTTGTTGTTGGGAATCCTGCGGTGCAGCTTGGTGAATCGTGCGGTAGCCTACCAGAGCAAGTATGGTGCAGTCCGTGAACAGGCCCAGGAGTCGCTGTAGCCAAATGGCTGTGGGTCAACACCAATGGTACATCACTCATTTTAGTCTATTTTAGTGGGGCTTGGGATGTTCACTGGGGGTACAGGGTTTTGACCCATGGCCAAATGCATCTGACTGCAGACCGTGAATCCCGCGGCATCGCTGCAAACTGGGCCCTTGCCTCTCTACCTCCCCGTTTTGCCTTCCAGCAGAAGACTGCTGTCAGTTGTCATGGTCAACGTGTTTCTCCGCAGGCAGATGGGGTTGTTGGAAATCTAAGGTGATGAGACAACGTGGCCATGATGGGGGGTGTTCTACTTGTGGACATATTCCAGCATCACTGATTGTACCAAAGGGTTCACAGAGCCTGGTGCTCGATGCTTGCATTGAACACATATTGACAAGGCTATGCGACGATGAACACAGCTTGTTTGTTTGTTTGGTTGCCTGCGTGTTTGCCTGCACATATGTCTGTTTGTATAGCTGTGTGTTTGTCTTTTTCCTCACTCTGACTGTCTATGTCTTGGTGTGTAGACCTGGTCTTTGTGCGTGCTGGCGTGTTCATGGATTGGATTCCACGATGCGATATGCAAGGGATTGTTGCTTGGTCCTTTTTGACTTGCATCCCTGTCCGTTGCCCGAACTGCATCGGCCTGCATCCGAATCTGGGAGAAGCCATGAGCATGAACTAGATTTGGGTGCTAAACGGAGTACGGAAGTGAGCTTATATTGCCTTGGACAGCAACTATTCCCACAAACTAGTTTAAGTTTGTTTGATCGTGGTCATTCGGCACTTGAATCAGAAGCCTCTGCTCGCGATTCCAATCAAGTATTGCCACCATGGTTTTCGTGACGGTGCACAGCCTGAGAGACAATGGCCAACTTTGGAAGCATTGCTTCACCAGTCTACGCCAGTGTTTGTTCCTCAGATGTGTATGGCTCGTGTTGAGAGTAGCCCAACTGGAGGCGGTTGCAAGGATGATGCGCAAACCCCAAACTCAGAGAGACCAAAGTCTAAAGGTTTGAACCGAATTGAAATTGCAACAACGCTTTTATTCTAGGTCCCCCAGTAGTGCCCCTTTACCCTTTTTTGGGGGAGGGTTCCCCTACTAAAATTAACTACAGAAAAAAGTTGGTAGCCTTTTTCTAATCTCTCTACTGGAGGACCTAGTATTCACTCTATTCATGTGTCCTGTTGTTTGCAGCTAGTTCAGCCATGCTCAGAGAGCATTTTGCCATCCACCGGCGTTGCAAGCCAAGTGATGCGCAGTGGGCTTTGACAGTGAATGCTGGCATCGATTCTGATTGAACATGCCCATGCCCCCGTCAAGTCTGGCTTAAAACAAGCAGCGGTGTTGCAATCGCCTTGACAACAGCAGCGGCATTGAACTTAGCACATTTCTTGGAGCTGCAAAGTCGAGAGTTGCTCCAATGGGGTTTGTCCTTTGAGGGTCTGAGGCAAACTCGCTCTTATCCTTCAAGTGGCAATTGCCCACGTCGAGATAGACGAAGAAAACAGTGCAGTCGCAGATAGCGCAGATAGCGCACCTAGCGCACGCCTCGCATGAGTGTGAACCTCGATGTGGAGTGCGGCCATACCAGAGAAGGCGCGCGAGACAGTCAGACAATCCAGACTGGTGGCTTCAGCAATTTTCCAAAGTGACATTCTATGAGGTATCTGGGAGGGTCAAATTCGCGCTTTTGGGTGGCCCTTCAACAGGCACAAGGCGGCTCCAGGGTCAACCCCGCATCTGTCAACATGCAGATTGGTTTTTGAAGGGCCGTGGAATTGAATTTCAACAGTGGCTAATATAAAGGGCTCCCAATCAAACTTCACACCCATGTTGGCATGCTCACTTGCTCAAGGCCGACCCAGAAAACCTCTTGGTTTTCCGGATTTGGTTTCCCCTTCTTGTGTAGTGCCAGACGCTGATCACTCGTGGATGTTTAAGGGGCAAGTTGAGTATGTTAGACTCAAGCTCCTCGCGAGGCGATCAAGTCTACCTGGTGGGCTCAGGCCCCTTGGGGGGATGGGACCCATCGAAAGCGCTGAGCCTGGAGACGGGCCCGCAGCTCTTCCCCAGGCCGGGCTCATGGGGGCGGCGTTTTCCGTTTTCGGCGCCTTCGGCCCCGCCCGATCCAGGGATCGGCGTTTTCCGTTCTTGGACACCTGAGCATATAGAAACCCGCCTTGGCGGAAATACCAAGTTGGTAAAAGACGGGTGCCCGCCATCCTTGCAGACATTCCAATATTTGGCTCATTTGAGAAAAACCACCAACCAGGCAAGGCTGCCCTTTTTCTTCCCATGGCCACTGGGCATATGGATCCGACAAACGAGAGCGGATGACACAGTTGGAGGCAGTGCATCGTAGATGTGTGAGAAACGTTCAAGACAGCCTTCAGTCTGTTGATTTTAGAGGGGACAAGGGGTTCCAGATTACGTGCGTGAGAAGCAGATCTATGAGGCACTTCGTACCAGATTTGGACATATCCGATGTTTTGGCGTGATGTTTGCTCAAAACATCCCCTTGATTGAGATGGAGCCAGTCTGAACTTTGTCCGCAATTACGTTGTACTATGTATGTGTATATGTACATATTAGTACATATATACATATATACATATCATGTACATATGTATATGTGTATATATACATGCATATATAGATTATGCACATACACACCTGTACACACCCACACCCGCCATCATGCCCACACCCACGTCTAGATCAATCGTGCTGTTTTTTGGATTTGTTCTGCGCCACACGCTCGTGCCATGCACGGCACATGCGGTTTTACGTCAGAGTCACCACAGGTTGCGCTGGTTGAAAACACCAGGGCCCATAGGTGTCCTTTTTAGGTTCGTTTGGTTAGAAAAAGATGGGTTGCACTGGTTTAGATTGTGTTTTCTTTGCATTTACCAGGGAACCCCGTCTATTTTACCAAAAGGACACCAAAAGCACCAGGCCAAGCCAAGGCAAGAAGTTCCGCTAAACCATAAATGTCTTGACCTGGCCGTGCAGCACGGACAGCAGTTTCCGTGTGTCAACAAGGGGGACCCCACAAGAGTGGTTGGTTTGCGTGTGGTTTCCTTTAAAACCACCATCCAAAAGGGGCTCCCTAAGTTGAGACAGACCCACAGAAACCACGCACACACGCCAGGGTAGGATTTGATTGTGCCTTTGCCTCGAAGCGCACATGCAGCGTGTAACAAATTCAAAAAGCCATGGTTTATGTTCCATATGGGTGTGGGTCAAAATTTTAAACCACCAGACAACCGCAGGTTTTAGTCCAAGTGTCCATTTACCAGGGTTCCATTTTCGGTACCTATGTTTGACCCACGGCCATAAGTTCCATTGTCACATTCTAGTTCAATTCATCAGGCACCCGCGTTTCCTCGGCTCCAGGGAAGCCCAAGCGCTTGCATGTGATTGTTTCTCAGCGTTCCGGAGGGGACATTTGGAGGCACGGTACCATTCGCAAATCCAAGTGAGAGTCGCATAAAACCAACCGGATTAACTAGTTTCAAACTCTTGCGCCTATGCGAACAATGCAATCTAGCGGTGTGTTCAATGCTGTCTACACCACTCACGTTCACCGAGATTTGCTTGGTAGCCTCTGATTCTAGTTTGTTTGGCTATACGGCAAGTATCAGGGACAAGCCGGCGTTCAAACAGCTTTGCCGAGCGTGTTGGTGTCTTCTTTAAAACTAACCTTTTGGGTTGGTCTGGAGGGAAACCGCAAGGAAATCAACCAGGTTGATGCCTCCCCAACTTTGAGACAAAGACATTGTCTCAATGGACATTGTCTGAGGTCCTGAGGGTAGATACCTGAGACATTTGCCAGTGTTACATATTCAAATGGCAACAGCAAGCTGGCTGAAGCAATCCGAAGACCGTGCAAGTGTACTTAAACCTTTGCAAGGCTGGTGTTTATTGGTCGGACATTGCAAAAGGCCGGATTTCGGGTAATGAAGGAACCGGGAGTGAGTGACTTTGATCCCATGCAACTTTACTCACTTTTCCGGGTGAGAATTGAATGTTCCAGTCGTTCCCTACCATTGAAAGTTCAAACCTTTTTTGCGCCACCGCGTCTAGGTGGAAAGGTCAGCTGGATACAACTCCAGAGGGCACAGAGTGCAAGTTGATCATTCGCAGAGCCCTGGCTTGCGCTCAGTTGGCTGTTCGAGCCGACCTTTAAAGAAATTGGGGTGCTCCCCCCAGAGGATATGAGGGGTGAAGATGTGGCCCAAGATGATCATGCGTTGATTTTCCGCGCAACGTGCGGCCCAACCTGATGATGCCTGATCCTATGCCCAAATCGAGAATGCTGGCTCTTCTAGTCCTGAAAGCGAATATGCCAGCCATCAGGAAGCTATCATGATCACTGATGATCCTTGCGGGCTTGACACACGGCTACCGTGAATGGTTTTGCTCATTGTTCGATCCCAACGGCTTCCCTGAACTCGATCACCAATTACTGTAAAGCGAATCGACCTTCAAACGCTGAGGCCTTCAGACCTTGGTCATGGCCGCAAACCGTGTAGCTTGTTTGTCCGCTGCTTGTTTGAGAGTGCAGTAAATCAAGATACGGTTGCTGTAGGGGTGCGTCATTTTCTTGACCAGCGAATGAATTGATTCTGGGATAATCATATTTGTACAGTATACAGGCTTAGACCCAGCCCCTAAAATCAAGTTGTTCATGAAGTTGAGATGTGCGGTCGTGCCTCACAACCAAGGATTTGAATGACTTTTAGTTGTGGCTTGTGTGAATTTTATTTGATCTTTGCACACCTAGACGAGCGCAAAGCTTTATGCAATACAGAGCAAGCGCCGCCAAAGCGGTCCTGATACCAACAGTGCAGATACTAGGGCAGACGTACCGTTTTAATAATGTCTCGCAGCTGTCAAGGGTTTGGCATGCACAGTGTACTTGTTCTTTTCCAGAGTCAGACGAACCTTGCTGGTTTGCAATACGCGTTTGATTCATTTATATACATGAGACCTTGTCCCCACACCGTCCACATGCACGTGCACAAAGCACTTGTCAGCTATTGACAAAAAGACGTGGGATCCAAGATGGAAGATTCGCATATCTTTGGCTTTGAATCTTGAATCCGGACTCCAGAGACGTAAAACGCTTGAAGTGCCCCTTAAAACGCGGGTTTTGGATGACATACGATGGCATGTGTCCTTTTTTCACCACCAGGATTCTGTTTGGCGGCACAGTATTCAGCGTTCCTTCCCGTCGTTTGGCGTTTTTTCGTTTTTGGAGCGTCCTCGGATCAGGAAAAGAGGGGCACATCGATTGGGAGCCCGGGGCGAATCGGAGCTTTCCGAGCCTCTCCTCCCCTTCGAAGCTGTGCATGGCCTTTGGAAAGCCTGGCATGGACCTGGTGCCGATGGGTGGCTATGAGGCGCTTCGGGCCTTTGTGGCTCGAGAAGGAAGGGGACTGGAAGAGTGGCAGTGGGGAATTGCCCGATTTTTATTTTTATTTTTATTTATATATTCCTCATCGACATGCCTATTTGCTAAAATCCCCAGGTTTCTTGGAGTTGAATCCAACCCAAGCCTGGTCGGCCTTGACCATTGCTGTCGTTTTTGGCATTATGTTCCAGGGGAGATGGATGTAAATAGACCGCATGTGGGTTTGTCTTCAAGTTGGGCAACCCTCAAAATGGGTGTCTGCCTGTGTGTGTGTGTGGGTGTGCAAGTATTGGCCAGCCAGACCCTATGCAATGCGGCCTGCAAGGGTTAGACGCTGGCGCGCAGCGTCACAATGCAGCAAATCCTGTTCGGTTCGGTGGCTTGCGGCAACTCTGGATTGACAGGGCTCATAGGGTTCTGTTGTGATTCAGAGCAAGACAAAGAGCAATACCCCAGTGTTAGAGCCCTGCAAATTCCTTTCATGTGCAGTTGTGTTCATCTCTCAAGCAGCAGCCGCCAGCATGGTTTTCCACAGAGCCCAAATCCCGCTTGCATCATATGAGCGACCGACCAAATAACCGACAATTGGCAATGTTTTGACACGGTCGGAATACCGTCAAAGGTGGAGGTCCCCCCCCAAATGAACGAGATCATAGCGAGATAGTTGTAGAACACCATGCAAAACAAGAGATGAAACGAGATTGATTTACAGTGACGAAGCTGTCCTTGACAGTGAGAGTGACGGCTGTGACAGATCAGACTTTGAGTTTCTTGCCAGTGGCCGGGCCCGAGCTGTGAGGGGGCAGGCCCTAAGGTTTTGGAGCTTCCCATCGGTCCCTGACAGCGACCCACCTAGCCAGATTGCTGTGAGGCAATAGACTCGATCACGCTAAGAACGCAGCAACCCCTTGATGTGCTCTTAGTCTTGCCTGCGAGCTCTGAAACAGAGAAAAAGAGTCGCCTACTTGGCATGGGATAGCGGCACGCTTTTGTCCTCCAAGAATTCATTTTCGCGCTGATCCTCTGCAAAAACGAGATGGCAACCCCAAAATTTGCTTCGAGTGTATTGCTGAGCCTGAACGAGTCCAAAACGAGATCAAACCATTGTTAGCGTGATGAATCCCAGTCCGGGAATGTGTCAGCAATTGGGACATGTCCACAAAGCTAGGTTTCCGTTGGTCCCCCTTTGCAAGCGTCCCAAAGAAAGTCCCCTTTGACACACACACACACACACGAAGTGCGAAAGAAAAAGCCGTTTGGTCACCCGTGACCTGGGGCTTGTTGTGGTATCCACGGCACGGCGTGAGCAGTACCGGCGGCACCCGGGGGGATTTGACCGCCCCAACTTTAGTGGCCCGGCCAGGTCTCATATTGTCCGAGTAGCATCGCGTTACTCCATGCCGTCGCCTATCCTTCAACAATATATTAAGTTCTGCGGTGCCAGGCAGCGCCCGGACCGGCGATGGAGTCAACACTCTCCATTGGTGAGATGGAGATGAATCCTGGCTGAGACGAGCGCTGTGAAGGTTCCGTCCAACGGGTCGGATGCCAGTCTAGGTCCCAGTAGCGCCCTTTTACCTTTTTTTAAGGGAGGGTTCCCCTACTAAAATAGACTACAGACAAAAGGGTGCCCTTATTCTAACCAATCTACTGGAGGGCCTAGCATTTGCAGCTTCGGAATGATGGTTTAAGCTCTCGGTGAGGGTGTTAGAGAGATTGTACCTGCAGGCAAAGCTCAGATCGTTGCCGCGCTTGGCTTGCCTGAGCTCGTGCGTGCTTGCGCGCGTGCCTGTGTGTGTGTGTGTGGTGTACGTGTGTGTGTGTGTGTGTGTGTGTGTGTGTGTGTGTGTGTGTGTGTGTGTGTGTGTGTGTGTGTGTGTGTGTGTGTGTGTGTGTGTGTGTGTGTGTGTGTGTGTGTGTGTGTGTGTGTGTGTGTGTGTGTGTGTGTGTGTGTGTGTGTGTGTGTGTGTGTGTGTGTGTGTGTGTGTGTGTGTGTGTGTGTGTGTGTGTGTGTGTGTGTGTGTGTGTGTGTGTGTGTGTGTGTGTGTGTGTGTGTGTGTGTGTGTGTGTGTGTGTGTGTGTGTGTGTGTGTGTGTGTGTGTGTGTGTGTGTGTGTGTGTGTGTGTGTGTGTGCGGAGTGGCAGAATTACCCTGCCACCATACAATCCTTTTTTCACGACAGCAGGGGGCTGGAGCCGGCCCGGGGGGTCTCCAGCCAACGAAGACGCCCCCCGGTGTCCGGGTCCAAACGTACCTGCGGGGCTGCGCCTGGGCCATTGTCATGGCAGCTGGCGGGCCCACCCCAAACAAAGGTCCCCTTTTTGCCCTTTTCTCCAAAACCAGCTGAACCCCAGCTGTACTCGAGACTCACCAGCTGTACTCGAACGATGAGAGACTCATCAGCTGTACTCGAGACTCATCAGTTGTACTCGAGACTCATCAGTTGTACTCGAAAGGATTAGCACCCTCCATCTGGAGTTTAAGTGTGTACACCCCATTCGTGGGGAATCCTCGGGTGTACCCATTGTGTGACCCCGGGCCGGCTCTGTCGGAAAATTTAACCTCAACGTGCTTATCATAGATCAGCGGAATTTCACATTTTAACCAGGAACGAGGTTTCACTAAAGGGAAGACAGCCACCTCTTCATAGCTACGTTTCACCCTCCCTCCTCGCCTTCGTCGTCCGCGTGTCCGTCGTCTTGCTCTTCGCCCGTTTAGGGATGGCTTCTCCTTCCTCCCGTTCCTTCTTCCGGCCTTCCGTCTTCCGCGTGTTGCTGTTCTTCTTCTTGGCCCGTTTAGGGATGGCTTCTTCTCTGCCGCGTTGTTTGCCTTTTTCGTCGTCGTCCTCTTCTTGTTTGCCTATTTGTTCGTGGTCCTCGGTCCCCTCGCGCTGTTTGGCTTGCCGTCTTCGTTCCCTACCGTTGCTTCATCGGGCTCTTCCTCATGGCCCCTCTGCGGGATTCGACGCCCTCTTCCTCGAGCATTGGCTTTGTCCTCGTGTTTCTCTGGGCGGGATGCGTCGCCTTAAATACGCACACTTACTTTCTTTCTTTCTTTCTTTCTTTCTTTCTTTCTTTCTTTCTTTCTTTCTTCTTTCTTCCTTTCTTTCTTTCTTTCTTTCTTTCTTTCTTTCTTTCTTTCTTTCTTCTTTCTTTCTTTCTTTCTTCTTTCTTCCTTTCTTTCTTTCTTTCTTTCTTTCTTTCCCTCTTTCCCTCCTTCTCCCCTTCTCTCGTTTCCTTCCCTTTTCTCCTGTTCCCTTCTCCTTCTCTCCTCCTCCTGTCTCTTCGTTTTTCCTTCTTCCCGGGCGGGATGCGGCGCCCTAAATACGCACCCTGTTTCTTTTTCCCCCCGGGCGGTTGCGACGCCCTAAATACGCTCTCTCTCTCTCTCTCTCTCTCCCTTTCTCTCTCTCTCTCTCTCTCTCTCTCTCTCTCTCTCTCTCTCTCTCTCTCTCTTTCGTTCCTTCTTTCTTTCGTTCCTTCTTTCTTTCTTTCTCTCTTTCTCTCTTCCTTTCTTTCGTTTTCTCCCCCCCCGCCTTTTTCCAACTACTTCCTGTTCTTCCTCTTCGCCCGTTTAGGGATGGCCTGGTCCTCTTCTCGGTCTTCAACTTTGCGGTGGTGGTCGTCTTCCAGGTTTAGGAGGGTTTCTGGGCTGTTTGGGGTTTTTGCCCTCGGCGGTGACCCTAAAACTCGGGTTCCCCTGTTTTTCGTGTTTCTTGGTTGGGGTTTTGCCCGCGGAGACCCAACGTGGGGATTCTTTTGGGTGCTTGCTCCGTTTGTTTTCTGTTGGGGTCTTCGTCCGTCTTTCGGGCGATTCTTCTCCCCCCCCGAGAAAGTGTTTCTCGCCCCTCTTTGAGGGGCGTGTGTGTGCGGAGTGGCAGAATACCCTGCCACCATACAATCCTTTTTTCACGACAGCAGGGGGCTGGAGCCGGCCCGGGGGGTCTCCAGCCAACGAAGACGCCCCCCGGTGTCCGGGTCCAAACGTACCTGCCGGGCTGCGCCTGGGCCATTGTCATGGCAGCTGGCGGGCCCACCCCAAACAAAGGTCCCCTTTTTGCCCTTTTCTCCAAAACCAGCTGAACCCCAGCTGTACTCGAGACTCACCAGCTGTACTCGAACGATGAGAGACTCATCAGCTGTACTCGAGACTCATCAGTTGTACTCGAGACTCATCAGTTGTACTCGAAAGGATTAGCACCCTCCATCTGGAGTTTAAGTGTGTGTGTGTGTGTGTGTGTGTGTGTGTGTGTGTGTGTGTGTGTGTGTGTGTGTGTGTGTGTGTGTGTGTGTGTGTGTGTGTGTGTGTGTGGTGTGCGTGTGCGTGTGCGTGTGCGTGTGCGTGTGCGTGCGCGTGCGCGTGCGCGTGCGCGTGCGCGTGCGCGTGCGCGTGCGCGTGCGCGTGCGTCTGCGTCTGCGTGCGTGCGTCGCGTGTGCGTGTGTGGTGTGCGTGTGCGTGTGCGTGTGCGTGTGCGTGTGCGTGTGCGTGTGCGTGTGCGTGTGCGTGTGCGTGTGCGTGTGCGTGTGCGTGTGCGTGTGCGTGTGCGTGTGCGTGTGCGTGTGCGTGTGCGTGTGTGCGTGTGCGTGTGCGTGTGCGTGTGCGTGTGCGTGTGCGTGTGCGTGTGCGTGTGCGTGTGCGTGTGCGTGTGCGTGTGCGTGTGCGTGTGCGTGTGCGTGTGCGTGCGGTGCGTGCGTGTGCGTGTGCGTGTGCGTGCGTGTGCGCGTGCGCGCGCGCGCGCGCGTGCGTGCGTGCGAGCGTGCGTGTGGGGGCGGGGACGGGGGCGGGGGCGGGGGCGGGGGCGTGGGCGTGGGCGTGGGCGTGGGCGTGGGCGGGGGCGGTGGCGGGGGCGGGGGTCGGTGTGGGTGTGGGTGTGGGTGGGGGCGTGGGCGGGGGAGGGGGCGGGGGCGGGGGCGGGGGAGGGTGTGGGTGTGGGTGTGGGTGGGGGTGGGGGTGGGGGTGTGTCTGTGTCTGTGTCTGTGTGTGTCAGTGTCAGTGTCAGTGTCAGTGTTTGTGTCTGTGTCTGTGTCTGTGTCTGTGTGTGTATACGTGTGTCGCTGTGGTTTTGTGCGTTTCTGTGCATCTTTGTGTTTGTGCGTTTCTGTTCGTCTTTGTGTGTGTGTGTGTCTGTTGGTGTCTCTCTGTGTAATTCTGTGTGCACGTCTGTGTTTGTATCTGTGTTTGTGTCGGAGGGATTTCCTGAAAGGAAACCGTAGGACATGGTTTATAGGGATTTCTCATTTCCTGCCTATCGCACCAGCAAGTTGTGCTTATAAAGCCGCTTCTACTGAGAGGCGGACTCTGACCGCCTGCGCTAAGGAGCAGGGCCAACACCCGCAAAGACTTTCGCCAGCGCTTGATTGACATGGAGTTCTCCACGAACATTGCGACTCGGGCCCTCAGGTCTCATTTTTGCTGGTGCGATAGGTAGGGAAGAGAATGAACCGTTTTGGGATTCCCTGAAGGGAAATCACCAGTTGGATGTTTTATAAGGGTCATTCCCTTATCACGAAAGGTAGCCTCAAGGAGGCTAGCTTGAGTTTGTCCATGCGTTAGCAAGGCTAGGTTGAGGGGGTCTGGGGTCGGCCCCGGCTCCCCCCGGAGCCTGATTGGCAGCTTCGCTCCTTTTTCCGCTCTTTTCGCTCGCTTTGCCTCACACTTCGGTCCGCTTTTCGCACCGCTTGACTCGTCGAGTCACGGTGCGCCTTGTCCCTTCGCTGAAAAAAGTGCCCCACTGTACATGGCTAGGTCCCCAAGTGCCCTTTTACCTTATTGCCTTATTCTAACCTCTCTCCTGGAGGACCTAGGCTTACCTCTTAAAAACACAACTTTTCAACTTTTTGGGTAACATGGGCTATATGTCTGTAAAAGATTAACTTCCCAGGGCTTGGAGTTTTAAGGGGTAAGTAGGTGGTCAACAAGTGCTTCCCCTTTTCACGCAACGGACATTGCCTCTTAACATAGTCAAGCTGCTGGGCTCCATGCGCGGCTGAACGGTATTCGATGAAAAGCCCCGGATCCTTTCTTTTTAGAGGACGCATTCGGTGAACCAGTTCACGACGCATTAGGGGAACCATTTTTCTAGGGGTTGATAATCAACCATTCTTTTCAATCGTCATTCTTTTCAAACATCAACTGTTTCCCCTGGGGTTCTGATGGTTTTCTGAAAAGAAGGATCCCTGGAAAGAATGGGGAAGTGGCCCCTAGAACTTTGCGGATCCTACCTTTCGTGTCTCTCCTTCTCAAGTTCCCTGCTGAGCACCAGCAAGTCATTGGGAAAAGCTTTCAGTTGTCGGCGTCGCACAATTGCGGCAGGCTTGGTTCAGACATGCACATTTATATTGGATTGGCCAGAACAGAGATGAGACAGAATTTGCAGAGCTACAAGGATGAGCTGGAAATTGTACAATGACCGTATGTGTTTCTGGTGTTTGAGACCACAGTAGTCTTTGCTCACATTTTTGCGGCGGACAGAGCGAGATCTCCCATGTACCTGCAAATGCCTTTGAACTTTCACATGCCAGTTTCTGGAAATTTCCGCAATACTGTGGATGGACGAAATCCGTTTCGCACCACCTAAGAATCCCTGGAATGATGATTCCCTTGTAAATACCAAAAAACATGGTTTCAACCATGGTTTCCAAGTGGTGCGAACGAATTTCGTCCATCCACAGTATGACCCGTGGCTCTTCATTCCGCCAGCGTGTTTGTTGTTTGTTCCCCGGAGTCAGGACAAGGTGGTCGTTCCGAATCAGGGCTACGCCAAGGTTGACTTAAACCCAGGGCTGGTTCATTTCCTCGAAAGGGAAACTGGTAGTCAAAAGGGCGGCAACAGTTAGGGCACGGAATCAACTGTTGCTAAAGAGAAAAAGCCTGTGTTGGGCTAGCCTTATGACATGTAGGAGCAGTCCATGGGGACTACACCACGTAGTATCATTGTCTACAAGAAGCCGCTTTGCTCGCTAAAACGCGCTGCAAGCCTGTCAGAGTAGTGATCGCATATCAGCGGCCGCTTGCGAGACATTCCATTGGCCGCTGAAGCTAGGTCCCCCAGTGGTGCCCTTTCTCACCCCTTTTTTGGTTGGGAGGGCTCCCCTACTAAAATAGACAAAAAAAGACATCGGGTACCAACTTATTGTAACGTCTCAAATCTGGAGGACCTAGGAACTGAACAACGGCGTTTTTGGCATCAGCTGAGGAGGAGAGATACGAGATCGACAAGGTGAAGCTGGGCGAGGGCGGCTTTGGCACTGTAAGGCGGGCCCGCGACAAGGAGACGGGGGCACGACGAGCGGTCAAGTTCATCGTGAAGTCCGGCGTGCCGCTCGGTGCTGCAGGCGGCTGGGTTTTTCAAGATGGCTGTGGGTCAAACATAGGGTAAGCCCAAAATGAAACCCTGGTAAGTGGAAACATGGACTAAAACCTGCGGTCCACTGGTGGTTTAATTTTGACCCATGCCCAGATGCGCCGCAATGAAAACCTGGTATTGGGGTGGTCTACCCAGAAAGATGCAAAGAACTTTCAAGGTGGCTGCATCCATTTATGGTTGGGACTATCCCTTACTAATACCCGCATCTACTGGGTTTTGATTGTGGCTCAGATGTCAGCCTTTTGCAGAGGGATCTCAGTCTCAGGCAGTGGCGGAGATTTCGCTATAACCCGCACAGAGTTATCTTCTCAGGGGCACAACCTCTCTTGCCACGGCTTCCTCACTTGGCGGTGAAACAAGTTATGCGTTGGCACCTGAGAGATACTCAGCCTTGTTTGTGGCGAACCCTTAATTAGCCCATGGGACCGTTTGAATGCCGTTGGACTTGCTGTTGAACCGCCGAAACTTCGTTGCATTTTGCTTGGATGTTAGGACTTTAACTGTTTGCCAACTAATGGGTTTTCCGCATTAAACCACTAACAGTTATTCACTTTTAGCAGGGGAGCAGAAAGCAACCCAGAAACGCATAGATGTCTTGCTGAAAGACCCGCTCAGCCCGACCGAGGGCGAATGTTGACCATCTCCGCCGCGAGATCCAGATCACGCAGAAGAAGCTTCGCCGCAGTTCTCACGCTGCTTGAGGGGAATTTGCTTCACTTGGTGCTACTTATGGCAGCCACAGGTTTTTTATTTGTTTTGTGCCCAAAGGGAAACTAACAAATGGGATGGGTATTTCATTTTGTTCCCAAAGCTCTTGGAAATAACTGCAGTCCTGTTGGGCAGCACCTGCCTTCCAACCTGACCCAGAGGGAGCTCGTGCCGCTGCAGCTTCGCTTCCCATGAAGGCTGTCGAGTGGGTGCGCTGACTTCAAGGCTATGCGCAAGTTCCCATAGTGAAGCGATTTGGCTCCAGATAGGGAAAACAGGAGGTAGTCAGACATCCTGCAGATCGGTACCGCGGTACCCTTTCTCATGACCATTTTAGAAGGGGCCTTGCCAAGAGTAATTACCTTGGAATTGGGAGGAACGGCGACAGAAACCTGTGGTCAAGTGGCCAAGCACGATTTGCCGGAAGACATGAGTGTGAATTTTGATAAGGTACCCCACAGCCGTTCAAGTTGGCCAGGAGTAACGGAACCAACAGGTTGGCTTTCAATCATGTCATGCCATCCTCTAACCTCAAAGCATTCAGACAAGCTCATTCGCCATCAAGACAAACGAGTTCAGATAATGCAGCACAAGCCGACAAGCCAAGCACTCGAGCAAGCGAAGTCCATCTTGTAAGGACAAGCAAAAGCACTCACAAATCCTGCCCCGAGCATCCTGAAGCAACAACACTGGAAGGCCAACAAGAGCAAACAGGAACTGCATCCATAGCCATTGGCAGTTTCATTCGCGTGGAGGTTGGAAAATGGTCTTAGTCTGATGATTCTGATGATTCTGATGATTCCAAAGAGGCATCGAGTTTCGCCCAGCGCAGAGCCTTGGTGCCTGGGAGCTTGCAGGCCGTCAACATGTAGTGTGGCAACATATTCCAACCAGCTCCCGCAGAATTGCAACAGGAATTTGAGAGCTGAATCGCTAGTGGATATCGTCTGGCACTGAACCATTGGTGTGGCACTGCAGTCTCCCGAATGGGATCAGAGCTCAAGCTTCGCGCCAACTCAGCGGAGAGAACTTCTTTCACTCGAACGCTTTAAACTCCAAGTTGAGGCCATGCACAAGGCAAGAGGTTGCTGCACCTGTGATTTGATCTGAGGATGGATCATCCCAACATCGTCCGGCTCTTTGCGGTGTATGAGGACCGTTGCAACCTTTACTTGGCCACTTGGGCAGCGTTGTTTCCCAGGCTTCGCGTAGGCAGTCGCGCAGGCGATCAGTTGATAGCTTGAGTTGTCGCGTGACAGGTGCTTTCTCAAGGGGCAAACAGCGTGGGGTGTTGTCGTGGGATGGTTGGCTTGCGAAGCACTGGCGAGGTGGAGCTGCCAAAATATTAAGTGCGTGTCGTGTATTTATATTGCCCTGACAGGTGCAGATGTGCGCCGGCCTAAATGTGTTGAGACGCGTTGAGACGCGTGTAGGGAGGCGTCTAGTCAAATTGGCCTCGCATAGGCATTTTTGTGGGAGAGGTTGTGTTTTGCGTAAGCGTGGTGGAAGCGAGTACCGCATCGCTACCCGTGCGGATTCTTATCAAGAACCGACCCAGGTTTCCCAAATTGCTGAAAGCTTCAGGAGATTCTCACTTCTCAACGGGAAAGGGAGGGGACTCCCCAAACAGGAGACAAGGTGCTGGGGGTGATGGGGTGTGCGGTGCTTTAGTGCACGGGTTCCAAGCCTCAACATAGCTATGGCTATAGAATCACCCCCCGAATTGATTTTTGTTCGACCCTTTCGTTGGAGGACCCTTTTTGGTTGGACCCTTCTTGTTGGAGGCCCAACCACCACCGGATACCTTTGGCCCCAGCTGCAATTTCATGTGGCAACAAGCCCAAGACTTCCGACCGAGGTCATGGAGCTTTGCGAGGGCGGGGAGCTCTTTGATCGCTTGGTGGAGGAGAAGTACCTCACAGAGCCCATCGTTCGGAAGGTGATGCGACGCGGCTGAAACTTGAAGTCTCCTTAAGGTTTTGCTGCTTCGTTGGCTTGACCTCCTGACTTTCAAGCGTTGTTCAAGAACGTTGTTTTCCCCACTTCTCAGAAGAAGTGAAACTGGACATGCGCGGGGTCAAGGACCAATCCGACATGCTGTTTTTTGCATCGCATTTTGCTGCACATGGTTCTTCTTGAAAACATGAGCTCATCATGAGCTTCGCTGAGCCGGCCGATTTGTTTCCTCTTTCTTTTTTTAAAGATGGATCCACGGTAGAAGAGTCAGTGTTTTGCCCGCCCGGCTCTGTGAGCGTTGACCTCGGAGTTGGCGTTTTGACTTTTGGGAGGGGCTGTAGCTGGTCACCCGAGAAGTATTTGACTGCGCACGTTGTGCAGTTTGGGGGTTCGACCGGTTTTTGTTCTTCCGCTGCTTTCAGTTGGGGTGATGACATTTTAGGGGCAGTGTTTTGCAAATCCATCAAAACTTTAGGTGAATAGATAGGTGACATATGAGCACTTTGGGCGACATATTATTTAGCACTTTAGAACTTTAGCACTTTGGGTGACTTTGGAAATGGTGACATATTCTTGGCGAATTATAGGCCGAGCTGAAGGGGGGGGGCCTACTTGCAGGGTAAACGACTTGTTCCTATGAAGGACCGTTCGTCGAGTTTCGACTGAGATTCGTGTCAATGGCTGGCCTAGTTGTCCGACCACAGGTTGCGAGGCTGCGATGTGGGGAAGGAACAGCAAACTTGAAGTTTGACCCTCTAAATTTACCAAGGAACATCAAGCTTGAAGTTTCACTCCTGATGGTTAGCAAGGATGGATGACCCAACACCTTGAAGTGGATGGCAATTTGTTGGTGTGGCCCTTTGTTCGTCGTTTGCCGATGGAAGCTGCGGCCTCCAAGCTTGCTATCCCCGGTCCAACAGGCACAAGGACAGAACAAGAGGGAACTGCAAGGCGGTGCCAACGTGAACGCTGTCAGCTGTGTTGCGTTTGTTGAATAGTCTTGTATGTTCTGTAATTGACCGCATGACCATCACAAACAACTTGATGACGGGACTATGCGAGAATCGGAATCTGCACTCATGTTGTAGGTGGTGTCATTGATACTGCTCCAAGAGTCAAGCAGGCTAACGCTGTGCAACGCTTTCTTCATGAGGCTTGCAGTTGCCAATCTAGCACCAAGCAGTCCTCGAACTTTATGGGTGTCACTCTGTTGTTCACTCTGGTGATTGCTTTGCCCAGAATCCGCCTTTAAGTACTGACTTTCCCTCTCAATTCCGTCCTTCCCACTTGTCCTTACTTCTGTTTGTCTCATTTTGGCAAGCCTTGCGGTCAGAGTCAACTGCCCTGTCTCGTGCCCCAAGAATCTCTCAACTCGGGCAAACTGTTCCACTGTGTTCCGTCGCATCAGTTTTCTTGTTTGCCCCCCCCCCCTAGCAGCTTTGGTTTAGGTAGCCCTTAATTGGTCATTCATTGGTGGTTTAAGTTGGGGAGGGGGATAAAAACGGGAAACCGTCCCAAACAACTCCAAACCACCTATCCAAAAGGGGAAGCTGATTTCTTTGCTTTTGCCACCCGACTCAAAGATTGCCTTTACCGAGGAAGCAGGTGTTTTCGTCCATCTCCTACTGCCACGGCAAGGAGACAGCATGTGAACTTGCGCAATCGTCAAGACCAGGGTCCCAATTTGTGATTGCCCCAAGTTGGACCCAAACCCACTGGGGGTTCATGTCCTCACAAGGATCCCAGGTAGTCAAAAAATGGAATGGACAAGACACAGTTTGCCCTCTCAAGGCCTTGAATGAGGTCGATCGAGCAGCCATCCAGCCATCCAAGATGGTTGAGGTTGCACATAGTCTTCATGCTGTGAATCCTTGGGCAGGCCGTGCCGCAGAAGCCCTGATTTTCGAAACCCTGGGTTTGGGTATCCGGCATGCGAGGCCTGCTCAGGCATTGTCGCTTGTTTAGCTGAGCTTGATTTGCGCTTGTTCAGAACCGTTCTTTGTGTGTATCCCAGAGGGTCTAAGTACCTTCTAAGGATGTACTTAGACCCCTTTTTGACCCCCCCAAAAGCCATCCTCACAAGGTACTTGGACCCTCTGGGTATGAGGGCGGTTGTTGCAGGCGGATCGCATGGGCAACCCCAACATTCTGCAAGAGAACTGTACAGATGTGGGACGAGCCACTCTCATCATTGAGGTGCTCACCACTGTGTGGCTCAAGGGGGACAGGGGCAAATTCAGGACCGTCCATATGGCTGTGGGTCAAAACCAATGGTACCATTTTGGGGTTGGTGCACAATTCAGTGGGGATTGGGATGTTCACTGGGGGTACCGGGTTTTGACCCATGGCCATATGGGATTGAGTCGCTGCTGTCTATAGCTTTACAGGGACGGGTGACAGGATGTCGTTCATCGAGATCTCAAGCCGGAGAACTATATCCTCCTGGCGACTTGGTCGTCTTGAGAGCCTGGATGCGGATGACAACTCATTGCTGAGCGTTTGTCAAAATAGGAATCGGTGGCCTATGGTTGGTTTATTTTTGGTTTTCCTTGAAAGTTTTTTGCTCCGCCATGCTGAGAAGTTCCAACACTAAACCATGACCCATGTATTCACTTCCAGTGACCACGCAGATTTCGCGGAGGGAGGCTCACCCAGCAGACCCATGTTAGCTATATATTATGCTTAAGCAGTTGAGCACCTTCCCTTTGCTGAAAAGCGTTTTTGTTTGTGTTTTCCCTGTTGGTTAAAAAGAACTCTATCACTACTGGACATATGTGTATTTTCCTGGGTACTTAAGCAAATGGAGGCATGACCCTGTGGTGCTTAAGGCATCAAGAGATATTGCATAGTCAGGACCCGCAATGGAACCCAGGTCTGCCAGACATGTTCACATGGCTGATCTTTGGTGTGACCAAATCGCCCCTGAGACGATTTGGAAACAAATGGCTTTTCCATTAGATCTACAAAAGGTGATGGGCCTCTTGCTTAGGGCCTTAGGGGGCTTGGAGCAAGCCAGCTCGGCATTGTCATTGTCCAAAAGAGGTGTTGCTGGAAGATGCTTGCAAGGCCAACCCCAGCCGACCAACCAACCAGCCAAACAGCCAACCAACCAACCAACCAACCACCCAGCCAGCCAGCCAGCCAGCCAATTAACCAACCAACCAGCCAAGCGACCAACCAACCAACCAGCCAAGCGACCAACCAATCCGAGGACAGGGGCAAGGGTGTGGACGCGACCCCCTTGAAGCTCATCGACTTCGGCCTGGCGCAGCGCTGCCGGGACGGGCAGCAGCTCAAGTCCGCGGTAGGCACCGCCTTCTACGTGGCGCCCGAGGTCATGGCGGGGAAGCAGCTCGGCAGAGACGGCGGGGCGGTGTCCCACTGGGACCTGGGGCACTGGGGTCTATTCCTAGGTCCCCCAGCAATGGGTGCCCGACCTCTCACCCCCCCTTTTTGGTTGGGACTCTCTAATGGAGAATCTAGACTCACTGGAGGGGAACAGCCCCATATTAAAAAAGCATTGTTCGGGTTGGATCAACCTTGAACTTCTTGGGAACTTGCGGTGGTCCACCAACCAACAGAATAACCCTTACACATCCTTACACTGTTTGCAGGCGCCTAAACCAACGGTATGCCTTGCATCTCAATGGAGGCGACCGCAACTTCAGCAAGCCACCCAGTCTCGCATGTTGCTGGAACTCCCCGTGAAGTTAAAACAACCAGACCTGCTTCCGCCCTCAAGCGTACAGGAGGCATGGGTTTTAACATATCAGCGGTTGGACCAACCCTCTCTCTGATTTGTGTAGCTGGACAAGCTCAAGGCAAATGCATGCAACATTTTAGGACCCACTTGGACGGAGCAGCGTTTGGCTGGGACGTCCAAGTGGGGTTGGGCATTATGGGTCCAGGCTCGGTTCGCATCTCCGGTTGTTTAAGAAACATAAGACAACTACTCGCATAATTCCAAGGACACAGGGAACAAGCAAACTTGTACGTAGCAATACTATGTTCGGTTAGCATAAGTTCTTGTAGGAAAACATGATTCTGTTGCTTAAGCATAGTGGTTTAGAATTGTGCATACCGGCAGCTCGCCCAACTCCGTAGTATGACAAGAAGGGAGACCAACAAGAAGAACGAGGCGAGCAAGAAACAGAGAGCAGAAAGAAAGGGCAAATAATGAAAGGAGGGGAAAGTAGAAAGGATGGCTTACATGACTAATCCTAAAGCTACCTGAAGCCTTTTCGACCCTGCCGACCCTGCCATAGCCCTGCCTTGCGTTCACAAAAAAACAGGCTTTGGACAAAGACACAGACGCACCGCACCCGCATCCGCAAGCGCAACCATGCGCCCGCCCGAACGCACGCACGCTCCCATGCTCCCATGCTTCCACACACACACACACACCCACTCACCCACACACCCGCCCGCCCACCCACCCACCCACAGACAATCACACACACACACACATAACACACAGCACAGAACACAACACACAAACAAACAACACATGAAACGCAACACACGACGCACAACACGCAACACACAACACACACGCAAGGTGCTCAAATGAATGCATTCGTGTTTTGCTCTGTCTGAGGTACGCCAAGGAAGTGGACGTTTGGGGCTGCGGTGTGCTGATGTACTGCTTGCATTGCGGTAGCCCTCCCTTCTACGGCCGAACTGATGTGGATGTCCTGCGGAAGGTGAAAAAAGGCCAGTACAGCCTGGAGGCTCAATTGCATTCTGTGTCTTTTTTGTTTTATTTGGGTGCGTCTTAAGTTTTTGGCTTGGGTTTTATACTAAATGGCTTGGGTTTCTTGTGGGTTCCCTTCAAAAGCCAAGCTACAAGTTGACGCCCCGAGAAAGAGAGAGACGCCCACGTGCGTTGGCCTTGGTCTGATTGGGCAAGACGCGGTTCCGACCGGGGGGTGTTCAGAACGAACTCAGCCATGAAGGAGGCAGTTTTTTTTTCTGTTTTTTTTCCTTTATTTTTCGGTGAATCGAGTTTTGCTTGGTGAATAATTATGTGTTTTTTTTCTCCCAGCTGTAAGAACAACACTCAGTCGTTGCAGCTTGTTGCGGGCTTCCACACTACGTTTGTCCATCTTCAATCACCAGTCCAAGCACGGAAGCTTGCGAATTGAGCCACCTGCGCCCTTGCTTGCTAACATCCAAATCGCCCAACCCTCAACCCAAGTCAAAAGTTGCAACAATAAACTGCAAGCGACACCAGGCGACTGCCCCAGACCATCCCAGGACAAGCAAAACAATTTCCGACTAAACTCACTTTTTGACTTGTTCTTCCAAACCATCAATCCCCGCACACACACGACACACAAAAGAAGAAACCAACACTTACACAACATACTCAGCCAAAGCAGAAACCGCAAACCTACCCAGCAAAACAGAAGCCGCAAACACTCACAGGAGCAGCAGCAGACATCCCAGCCACGTCCTGACAGACTGCGTCCTTGGGTGGCTTTCGCCTTTTGTGCCCGAAACGGCTTCGACACTTCGCCCAGGATGGGCCGATTTGGGAGCCCGTGTCCAAGGCTGCGAAGGACCTCATCTCGCGTTGCCTGGAGATGGACCCCTCCAAACGGATCTCGGCCACTCGGCACGGGAGTGCTTGAGGAATTTGGGGGGGCCCTCGCTATCCTTTGGATTTCTTCTGGCCCACAAATGCTTGATGCACAAAAAGCTGGTTTTCCTTCTGGCTCCCTTTAAAAACAACAGAAAAAGGGGGGGGCGGTCCTCAAAAAAAGGACAGATCCATACACATACCAACCGAAAGGGTGTCCCATGGAATGCGGCTAGCTCCCTTGAAAGGTTCTCAGGCAGCCAGACTTCACTTTGGGCGGGCTCGGCGTGCCCCAAGGGGAACTGAGACAAGATCCCAGTGATGCAAAAAGCCGTGACTAGGTCCCCCAGTAGCGCCCTTTTACCCGTTTTGGGGGAGGGTTCCCTTACTAAAATAGACTACAGAAAAAAGTAGGTACAATTATTCTAACCTCTCTACTGGAGGACCTAGTCAAGAAATGCATAGGCCCGGTCCAGGTGTGTTTGTGTCTATGTTTGTTCTTCGTCTTGCCCAGTACTACCAGTGCCAGTCACTGGATGTTGAGAACAGCCATGCAGCAAAGTGTTGAGTGGACGCAGTGAACAACTATTAAACCCAGACACGCATGAGGGCACAGCGCGCTTTGACACCCACACTATACCAAGGAGAAGTTTGGACAGGCTCTCGTTTTTGACCTTGACGTTCGCCAACATCCCCGACTCATTTGCAGTAAGCTCCATGCCTTCAACTGGCCGTAGCGTCACTGTCTCATTCATCCAGCATCACCAATCGCAAGGGTCAGGCAGACTAGGCCGGACAGGGAAGATGCCTTCCGGAGGCATCTGCATGGACCTTTCGGCGTTTGCATCTTTCAGGAACTCATGAGGATTTTGCCGTCTGTATTAACTAAGAACTTTAAGCGTTCCCGCATGTCGGCAGAAAGCACCTTTTTTGGCACACACCCCTGCAAATTCCAGCACACGTCTCTTTGTCCGCCCTTTGTGCTTGATGATGACAAGCATGATGATGAGGAGGAGGAGGAGGGGGAGGAGGAAGAGGAGGAGGAGGGGGACGTGGATATGGATGAGGATGAGGACGCTCATCGTCACGGTGACGACGATGATGATGATGATGATGATGATGATGACGATGACGATGACGATGACGATGACGATGACGATGACGATGACGACGATGATGATGACGATGATGATCAGGATCAGGATCGGGATGAGGTGAGGATCAGGATGAAGATGCGCGAGGATGAGGATGCTGAGAATGATACTGGCAACGATGGTGGTGAAGGTGAGTGCGATAGTCATAGTGATGATACATCTGACGAGCACAGTATGACGTTGTGGTGATGACGGTATTGAGATTGCAATGTGGGTCTGTGTTTTCAGGGTACCCCTTGCTCCGGGTTTGTTCCGTGGAAACCACAAGGACATTATAGGGTGCCCTAGAGAAATGGCTAGATTGTTGAAGAGCTGATCAAAGCTTGCTTCACTTGGCGCTAGAAGCTTCCAAGCCTCCTTTAGTTGGCTTCCCTCTAATTGGTGGCTTGGAGCCCGGTGGTTTGGTGGTCAAGGCGGGGTTTCCCATTTACCCTCCAAGCCAGGGGTTCAAATCCAAATCCAAACCACCCATGCAAGTTTACCAAGGGGTACAGAAAATTGGGCACGGAAACTGAAACATGTCCTGCTGCTGGGGAGATGGGAAACCACCCCTTAACCACCAAACCACCAACTAGAGGGAACCAGGCATGATTTTGTTTAAGCCACTGCAAAACTACCAAACTACCCCGGGTCACCCGATTTGGATGGCCGAGACTCCGAAAAAAAGGCCCTCGACGCGCTGAAGCACCGCTGGTTTGCAGCTGGAAAGCCCGAGAGCCTGGTGTGCCTTGGACTTTCGAGTCGCAGCTCTGGAGTTCAAGGAAAACCGGCAAGCGCCAGGAAACAAATACCTTATGGCTGTGGTTGTCAAAATCAATGGTACCCTTCTGGGGCAGGTGCACCACCGGAAACCAATAATTACCTCCATATGGCTGTGGAGTCAAAACCGTTTTGGTATCCCATTCTGGGGCAGGTGAATTCACCACCCATTTTGGAACCTATTTTAGTGGTTGGATTGAATGGGATGTTCACTGGGGGCTAACCGATTTGGATTTTGAAAAGCCCATGCCCATAAGTCCACCAGCATACACCTCCATGGGTCCAGCATACTTGCCTCGTGTGTGCACTTCTCATCCAGCTTTCCCAGGGTCCCCTATATTTCCCTTTTGGGCGGTTTTAAACATCACCTTTTGGGCCCATGAAAGCTGAGTGTCCCTTGGTGGGGGTGATGTTTTAAGGGAAAATATAGGGAGCCCTGTTTCCTCTTGTCATTGGCTCAACTCAAAGGTCAGTTCCGTGGGTTAAGACATGAACGTCCCACTGGGAATCTGGGTAGACTAGCTTCCTGACCGAATCAATCATAATCCGGTACCCAGCTTGTCACGAACGGAGTATAGCCCTTCAAAACTCAAGGCCGCCAGGCCGCATCTTGTGTCACAGCATGAAGTTGAATTTGCTGACATTGACCTTTGTACGCCTTTGTAGCTGTTGGAAGAGTTGATTTTACGTCCAGTTTGACTGGCCCCAGCAGCTTTGATGTTGGGCAGTGATTGCGACAAGCCAGCGTCCGGCAGTATATGATGGTAGCCCGTAGGCGGATCCCTGTTGATGTGCGTGCGTGTGGGTGCGCGCATGGAGTTGCATGTAAAAGGAGGACGGATGGGTAAGCCGGCCAGGTGTTTGTTGGGCCAAGCCCAACCCCATCGTTCAAGCTTCCTCCAGCCCGTTGTTCTGTGAAAGCCGCAAAAGATTAAACGATGGGTCAAACAATGCAGCAGCTGAAACGCATGTGGCAGCATCAAAGTGTTGAGAGGCCCTGCAAAGGTATACACTCCGAAACGCGCTATTGACCCTCAAACATCAAGCCCCCAATGCAGACTGGTGTTATTAATGGTCAGACATGAAGGCACCTTCATGTCGGTGCGAACCGCTGCATCTAGATAAATCCAGGCTGCTCAGCCAGGCATACACAGCACCTTCGATGACCGCTAGAACAAACGATGGATTTGTGTTGCATCAGTATAGAACATAGAAACAAATCAGGACCTGAGTAGAATCACATGGTGGGGCGCCCAGTCCCCCCCCCATAAACAGATTCCAAGCTAGCTCGTTTCTCATCAAGCAGTACCATATGGAAAAGCAAAGGCTGCTGCCGAGAAGTGGAGGTCATCCGCATGGCGGCTTTGTGGGCATCCCGCCGCCATGTTTGGAACACCCCGGACCCCAGAAAGAGAGCGTCCCACCTTCAAACAACAGCGTCAGCGGTCTGATTTGTTCGGATTTTTGTATTCTCCACACTCCAGAGACGTGTGCCTGGGCAAATGCCGCTGATCTTGTTTGATATGTTGATGGCAACTAATGACTCTTGATGAAGAACATGATTGCATTCAACATATCAAGCCCCTGCAGTTGTTTTTCCTTTGCCGAAGATTTGCTGGTCTCCATGGAAGACCAGCAAATGCTTATCAGATGGAGCTTGGCGACCGCATGGGAATGTATGATGTCGCAGACTTGTCGTTTGCGAGGGCCCCCTACATGTAAAGGCGCCCCCAGCCCAAATCTAATTAGTGATTAGGGCCAGCGCCCAACAAGGCCACCGATACCCTGATACCGTTTGGGCCCTACTTTGCGTCCCATCCCTGTGTCCCTAAGTATTGAGAAGCCTCTAAGGCTGAGACAAAGCCTGGTTGAGAGAAAGGAACTCCATCCTTGTGCCCCCAAACAAAAGCATCCAGCATTTTTTGGCGCCTTTTTAAGACGACAAAAAAACCGAAGGAACAGAAGGAACGAAGCTTTCCGTTTGGCGTCTCCAGTCGTTTCTTGTGCCGCTTGGTCGGTTGCCTCGATGCCCTCGAGGAAGCTGCAAGCGGATGTGCTCTCAAACCTCCGGGGCTTCAGCGTGGCGAACCGCTTCAAGAAGGCCGCGTTGACGCTCGAGCGGATGCGAGCGGGCGCTTTGCCGGGAGTGCACGGAGTGCACTCCCGACTCACATGGAAGCTCCCAGAGGGCCACTGTGAATGGTTTTGCAAGCATTTGAAACATGTGGCTTTTTCACTACCAAAATCAAGGTTGAAACCACCATTTACAAGTTGCAATGTTCAGGTGTATAATGTAAGGATCCGTGCTACGAGCGGGCGCTTGGCGCTTTGCCGTTTGTTCGCCATTCCACAGGTTGGTTTCCGTGGATGGTTGCGAAATCCTCTGAGGCACCGTTCGGAAACCCTGGTTTCTGATGATTCCCCTGCACACTCTGGGGGACAAAACATATTTATTTAATAGGGTGCTTTGGGGTCGACCGGGTTTCCTCTTCGGTCGTCGTCCAAATGGGCCCGGACACGAAACACCTGAAAACCGCAATGTTCCGCGTAACGATTTTAAATAGAACCGTTTAAGTGTTTGTTTGGCGGTTCAAAAGTAAAGGGCGCAGTTTAAACTTAGAATTACAGATTCAAGAAGTAAATGCAAATTAGTAAAGGTAAGTATGCATTTAGAATTTGGGGTTGTAATAAGGCTGGAGCTGGTCTGGGCAGAGACATCGGACAGTTTAGTATTGGTTTTGAATTGAGCTGTTCTATAGGTAGTATTGGGGACCCGGCTATTTCAGCCAGGCTGGAAAAATAGTATTTATTCTCCATTTATTGAAAGGGGAGCGGATTGCGAACGAACGATGGCTTCCCTGGTTTCAAAGTGGTGCGAACTAGATTTTGCCCATCCACATGATTCCTTGCCCGGGCCTGAGAGAGGCCGGAGGACTTTTGGTGGGGCATGGTGGGGCGTGTTGGAAGGCTCTGAGCCGCTGACTTTGGCTTCCAATATGTTTGTTTTGTTTCATCCGTTTGTTTTGTGTTTATATCAGGAGTGACCCGCAGATATTTTTGTTGTTTTGTTTTGTCTTCTTCTTTTTATGAGAAGTGACCCACAGATATTATTGGTCATGGTAAACCTCCCAAGCCACCTGAAGAATCTGAAACAAGACATGCTTTCGCCGCAGTCCACTCATGTTTCCTTGAAGGTGCCTAGCAAACTAGAGGTTGAGTATTAAGTGACATGCAACCTTGTTCCTCCACTTCGAGTTGATCCACTCTGAGACTTGCGCTGAGCCACTGACTGACAGCTTCTGCCTGAAGCCGCTTTTTCAGAGAGGGCCCACCCGTTTGCATGAAGCTTCACCTGTGTGGTCCACATCAACACCGGGGCACATAGGGATGGTCATCGACCCTAACGTCCTGCAATGGGGTTTTAACTCTATGGCTCAAGGGGACCATTTCTACCCTGCAAACAAAAACTGAGGGTAGCCTTCTCCAAAGACTTATTACATTTCCTTCAGGGGATCGCGTGTTGGGGGGGTCAAAGAGTGTAGCCGGAAGCTCCCCCTTCTTTGAACCATGATGTCCTTTGGCGTAAATTGGCCAAAATGGCCCACGTCATGTGACGACGCAAATCACCTAAGTCGGGCCACTCAGACAGCCGTTAATTAGGATTGTTCAGAGCGTTTAGCTGCCCGCGGCGACTTTGCTCCGGCACTGAGGTGTAGCAACCGTACAAACAGCATTTGGCTACGACCTCATCCCAGATCGAAGAATGAAAACGTTGACTGCACTTTCCGTATACAAAAAATGATCCTTGAGCTGGTTGCTTTGTTGATAGAGGTACCCTCAGAGAGGCATGTCTCCCTCTTTTTATATACAGGTGCGAATCCACAAAAACCACATCCAAACCGTTATCTTCCGAGGGATGCACTTTCCGAGGGATCCTTCACTCGAGCCGCTCGGCCAGCCACTCGCTGTGGGTCAGGTACCCCTTACTCGGCGGTTTGAATTGGTTTGGGGATTTGAACCCCTGCTTCTTGTAGAGGGTAGATTTTGACACTCCCTAACCACCGGGCTCCAAACCACCAATTAGAGGGAAGCTGAGCAGCCGCTGTTTTGTTGAATGTGTTGATGCAGTTCGTAACCCATTCCCAGAGTGGACGAAATCACTTTGCACGGGTGAAACCATGGTTGAAACCATGGTTGAAACCATGGTTGGTATTTGCAGGGATTGAGGGAACTTAAGCACAAGATGGTTGAAACCAGAACGTCTGGTATGTACAGGGGAATCATCATTTCGTTCTTAGATTGTCTTCGGTGGATTTCGTCCATCCACAGAGCTCTGGCACTCAAGACGCCACGCATGTTATCCGTGAGGCTTGAAAGTGATATTACCGCTCGCGCTTTCTGAGGACAGCCGTGGCATATCAGCTGACAGCAGAGGAGCAGCGCGAGCTACGGGAGGTGTGGGCCCTCCGAATGAGTTTCGCTCCGATGCACAAAGCACAAAGGCTTTGTGACAGTGTCCCCCAGTAGTGCCCTTTCTCGCCAAGTTTTTCTTGGGGGGTTCCCCTGTATACCTCTCCACTGGAGGACCTGGTTTCTGACAGTGTTTTTTTGAGGGCGGCACCCCCCCACCAAATAACATGGAACCTGACAGGAGGGTCCCGAAAAAAGAAAATGGTCTTTCAGGACCCCCTGTGAGGTTCTTGGTGGTAGGTTCCCTTTCTTGGTTTCGAAACTAAGAGGCACCTGAAAGAAGACACGCCCGTATCCCTAGCTATATCTATTAAGACACAAAGGTACCCAGAAGGCCCATCAGTGACGCGCGTTCGCCATTTGGTAGGATCCATTGAAGGAGTCATACGACCTCTTTGAATGGCTGCTGGGGGTATGGCTGCACTTTTTGGGTTACCCAAATGGGTGTGGCTCTAAATTAAAGAGCTAGGGCAAAACGCAGGTGTTAGTCTGTTTTCTTTTTTTTTCATTTACCTTTTGGTGCCATTTTGGGCACCCCGTTTTTGAGGTGGCTCCACAGCCAGGTGTTGGGTGTTCCTGTCTCCTTCGCTTCCGCCCAAAATTATTACACGGCAGGCCTTCATGAAGCTAGATGCCAACGGGGACGGCTACCTCAGTTTTCAGGAGATCAAGACAGGCCGACCGGTTCCCGGGACGGACGCGGGACGTGGGACGTGTTTTTTTTTTTAGCCTGAAAAAGCGGTGGCACCGAATGAACGGGGGAAACAAAAGCACAGTTGGGATTGGTGGAGTTGAATCTAGTATTCATAGGGTTTTATATCCAGAACTGGTGGAATTTTGTCCGTATGAAGCCCTAGTTGAAACCCTTCGAAAAGGCACAACATGTCCATGAAACCCCAAAAAAGGCAATGTTGGAGCGCTGCTTGCAGCTTGCTCGGAACTGCGCAAATGGATTCAGGGAGAGAGTCATGGTCACCCTTGATTGGGGGAAGATAAGGATTAGGTTCCCCAGTAGTGCCCTTTACCCTTTTTTGGGGGAGGGTTCCCCTACTAAAATAGACTACAGAAAAAAGGTTGGTACCCTTCTTCTAACCTCTCTACTGGAGGACCTAGAGGAGAACGCCAGTCATTTGACCCGCCAGCGTTTGGCACTCATTCGCCCAAACGCAGGTCTGGAGCAGCACATTCTCGACGGCCGCATCCCCAACTTGGCTCAGATTCTGGAAGGCATCGACACGGATAACGATGGCAAGATCGAGTGCCTGTGAAACAGCCAGGGCACTAGGAAGGCTCACTTGAGAAACCCACGTGCTCAAACCCCGGGATTCCGATGAAGGTTAATTAGTAAGGGGCAGCAGCCAGAAATGGCTGTGGCTCAAAATTAAACAGGAGGGGTTACGCAGGTTTTGGTCCATGTTTCCATTTACCTAGGGGCCATTTTGGGTACATGTTTTTGAGCCACAGCCAGAAATCGTTGCGGATATTGCTTCTTGAGGCATGGTTCTGGGCTTTCGATGGCTCACTTTCTCAGTTGCACAAGAAAAAACCTCTTTTGGGATCCGATGATGTTTGTGAAGAAATATCACGTGTTTCGTCATGGACTTCCATTTTTTCGGATACGGCAAACACAAAGTTTGGACTTGTTTTGAGCCATCAACTCAGGAAGTGAGTAAATGCGGTGCAACCGGAATCCCTCAAAGTCTTGAGTAACCTGCAAGCCAAGCCGCTAGATCAAAACTACATCCTTTCAGACAGGCACGGGTGAAGCTGGGTGTAGCTGTTGCGGCCACTGATAGAATCATATGGCCCTGTCTGCTTGCACTGCGGGAAGCCGGATCAAACGGTTGACACCAAGCACGCAAGATTTTTGAAAGCGCTGCCTGACTGTAGGCTGCACACAAAAGGACAGCAACGACATGAGTTTGAGAGAGGTTTGATTTTGCACTCATGTTTTTCCAGATAGATCACGAACTAGGGTATACAGAATTTTCCTTGACAGCACATAGCTGGGGGGAAAGCCTTGCACGGGCCAGATTCGTGTCCAATTCCGGCTGGGAGACAAAACTTTGGTTCTGAGTCCCAATCGCAAGCCGGTCACTTTGCAATCTTCGGCCGCAGAAATAAGCGACCGAGCTTTTTAGCCGCTAAGGCCTGTTTCACAAGATCAGGGTTGTGGGATCAAGGGGTTTATCCCCACTGGTTAGTCTGTGGGAAGCTCTTTTTGTTGAATCACTGAAGTGGATTCCATTTCAAGCACAGGTCTGCAGATGGTTTTGAACTTTGCTCGTCCCGAACATCCTTTTCAAAGGCCATCAAGGCCTTGCATATGAATAGAATGAAGGCTCCAAGTCGTAAAGTTGAGGTAAGTCAAGCGGTTCCAAAATCTTGAACGTGTATAACATGTACCAAACATGCATGCTGCAGCTGAGTTGACAGGCTTCGTGTGGTCTCCTTGGTTCCACCGTGGTCGGACGGGTTCCTGGCTAATTACCAGCCGTTTGTATCTCCCTCAGTATAGTTGGCTGGGTCAAGTGAGTTGCGGGTGGTTTAAATCAGCTTTCTCGCAACACAGTTGGCAAAGCAACCTTGCTATGAACCCCTAACCTCATCGGCAAAGCAGCCTTGCTAAAGCCTGCTGTGACCAGCTGTTTGATTTTGAAACAACTCCTGGCAGAAGTGTGCAGCTCAGGCACCACCACTTCCTGATTCAAAGAGCCATTTGAATTGAGAGAGCTGGGGCCGTGTGCAGCCACGGTTAAACAAGGAGTTCACGCTTTCGATGGGTTTCAATCGGTGACCTGCATAAATGTTTGTTTGTTTTGGTAGTGGCTCCCTTCACCAACGAGCCATAATTGAGGTCCTATAATTTTGGGAAGGCTAGACTCAAACTGCCTCAAACTGCACCCGAGGTATACTGAGTTCATCGCAGCCGCCATGGACCAGCGGTTGCAGATGAACGAAGCTGTTTGTTGGCGAGCCTTCAAAAGTTTTGACAAGGACCCAACTGCTTGATGCAAGTCGGAGGCATGGGAATTGGTGACACAGATATTGCACAACGTGTATCGACACGAGGGTATGTAACATATATGTGCGTACGTGTAGAGGCAGCATGACGCACCTCGCAAGCATTGTACTTTGCGGAAAGCTTGCATGACAATGATGCTGACGTGCAGATGCACAGCAAGCAAGTACTCGCCATGAAGGTCAGGTGTTTGTGAGCTGGGCAAGGATGTTTCTTTTTACTGTCCTCATCGCCAGCTCAGCACGTTGTTTAGGCATGTATTTTTGGCAACTGACGTGGGGCGTTTGGTCAATGGGTACCAGCGTCAGCTTTGTAGGAGTGATTGGACATACGCCTCCAAGTGAGCGACGCTGAACGCGAGAAAATCCAAGAGGTACTGTTCACTACTATTAGGATAATAGCGTTGGAACTGGAACATTGATGCATGGACGGTCAATATGGACAAGCTTGTACTGAATGGTTGCACGGCAGCAACAGTTCCACAATTGGCCAATGCAGTATGTGCCCATTTGACGTGACTTGGCTTATGAGATTTATATGGATTAAGCTTTGCATGGCAGCACAACGCAATGGTCGTTCCACAATAGGTGAATGCAATACGTGCCCATTTGCCGTGACTCCGCTTATGGGATTTTTATGGATTAAACTGTGCATGGCAGCACAACGCACTAGTCGTTTCCCTAATTGGCCAATGCAATACGTGCCCATTTGCCCCGTGACTCGGATTATGGGATTTATATGGATCAATCTTTGCATGGCAGGACAATGCACCGATAGCTCCCCAATTGGCAAATGCAATGCGTGCCCATTTGCCGTGACTTGAATTCTCGGATTTGTCGGCCTTGCTGCCTTGCTTCCAATACAATGCCACCTGCTGTAGCTGACCAAGTGAGGCGTACGAACATCTCTGCCAAGCATTGAGGTGCATAGGAACGTCGAAGTTCAGTCCCAGCCATAGGGCCGATCAATATTCCTGGCCCCCGAATGCCCCCGAATGCCAATTCCGGGAGCTTATGAGCCCATGAGCTCCAGGTACGTGGTTGTTGTTGGGAAACATTTTTTACATTTTGCTTATTGTGGTTTAGTGGTTGAAATCCAAATCCACTTAACTGCTAAATTTTCCATTTTTTGCTGCCCTAACCCAACGTCAAGGGTCGGCTTGGGAGGGTTCCGCGCTTCGGCGCAGGACGGGGATGGTACCATCACCCTGGAGGAGCTGCGGAAGGCGATTCTTCTTCTTTTTTCCCCAACAGCTGAAAGCTTTGGGGTCTCAGCCCAGATAGGCTCTGGGGTGGGCCGGGGCGGCCCTGAGGTAAGGTTCCACCAGCGTTCCACAAGGGTTCCACCAGGGTTCCACCAGGGTTCCACCAGGGTTCCACCAGGGTTCCACCAGGGTTCCACCAGGGTTCCACCAGGGTTCCACCAGGGTTCCACGAGGGGTTCTGCGAGGGCTGCGGGGTGGTGCGAGCACGGTTGGGGATGTCACCTGAGCTTGTTTTCCCCAACAGCTGAAAGCTTTGGGGTCTCAGCCCAGATAGGCTCTGGGGTGGGCCGGGGCGGCCCTGAGGTAAGGTTCCACCAGCGTTCCACAAGGGTTCCACCAGGGTTCCACCAGGGTTCCACCAGGGTTCCACCAGGGTTCCACCAGGGTTCTGCGAGGGCTGCGGGGTGGTGCGAGCACTAAAAATTACACCAGCATAGACCCCAGATAGCAATGATTGCACACCAGCACCACCAACAGCACCCCCCGAAGAGCGTCCCAAACTGCACCCGGCCGTCAATCGAGCATCCGCGCCATCACTAGCACCTCCAACAGCACCCCAAACAGCATCCCAAAACAGCACCTGCAGCAGCACCCCAAACTGCATGCCCCCTGCACCCTGCCGTCAATCTCGCAAAAAATGCGCCTGCACCGTCACCCTAAGAGCACCCCAAACAGCACCCCCCCAGACACCCAGCCGCACCCCAAACAGCATCCCAAAACGCCACCTGCACCAGCACCCCAAGCTGCGTGCCCCCTTGCACCCTACCGTCAAGATGCAAAAATGTGCCTGCACCGTCACCTGCATGCCCGATAACACCCGGGCGTCAATATCGCACATTGCGCCCGCACCGTCACCAACACCTCAAACAGCTCCCCAAACAGCATCCCAAAACACCACCAGCACCAGCACCCCAAACTGCATGCCCCCGTGCACCCTACCGTCAAGATGCAAAAACACCGTCACCCCCAAAACAGCACCTGCACCAGCACCCCCAAACTGCATGCCCCCTAGCACCCTACCGTCAATCTTGAAAAGATGCGCCCGCACTGCCATCAGCACCTCAAACAGCACCCCAATCCGCAAAAACCAGCACCCCAAACTGCACGCCCCTTAGCACCAGCTCATCAATCTCGCAAATCACTTCCCCCTCTTTATTAGAAGTTAGAACCCCTATAGCTTTCAGCTATCTAGGGGAAAGAGCACCGCATGCGGTTGGGGATATCGCCTGAGCTTATTTTGTCTCGGGCCAGTGGATGATACGACGATGTTCGGCGGACAGTCATGTGCTTCGACTTGCAGATTTTTGTTTGTTTGTTTGCTCCCTGTTGGTTTTAAAGGGGGTCTCTTGCTATCGCTACTGGAAATGTTATGTTGTCCAACGTTTGAGCCTTTCTACATAGGTCAAAGTTAAACCACCGGAAGATGGACCACTGGTTCTAGTCCATGTTACCAAATACCAGGGTTCCATTTTGAGTACCTAGTTTGGACCCACAGCCACAGAGGTTTCTCGTCATCGGTGATTCTTAAAGGTGTTGATGGCAACCAGTAGCTTTGCATGCGAAACGTCACAACAGGCTGGGGCCAAACAGCTTATACTACGCCTTCGCACGAATGTTCATGTTGTCTCACATAGAGCTCTAGTGTCTGCCTTCTACTACTTGTGCGCCACGGTTGGGCACGTTCCTTCGCTTTGCCCTGCTTGACGCCAGAAAGACGCAACATCGTGACGACAGAGTGAAGCGACTTAAGAAACCCTTCGGTATTTGCACTGACCAGTGGAGTGGCGTTTCGTGTCAAGCAGCCTGAGCACCGGAAAGGAGTAGAAAGGGTTTTGGCACGTTGCAGCGACTCGTTGACGGCCGCATCTTGTTGAGCAATGCACAGGTAATTAAGGAACGAGACCATCCCGATGTTTACAGGTACTTGTGGCAATGTAGTCAGTGTTTGGCTTCTGACAGGCCATCCACAATTGTCAAACCGTTCACTCGAAGCAGTGCCTTGTTTCTCCCCCAAGCGCAATGTGCAGATGACCTTTCATTCGCTTGAGCATATTTGTTATTTTTCCTGTTGGCTTTAAAGGCCATTGGACATATGTGTGTCTTTTCCTGGGGACTCTAAACGCAAATGGAGGATACTCACCAACAGAAGACCTTGACGACATGGGGTTTCAAGGAGAAATTCAGAAACTACGAACAGCAAGACCGGAAGTGGCCTTCAGGTGCTGCATGATGATGAGCTGCAGAGCCAAGTGCCGGCCACCCGCAGCGCCAGTTCCATCTTCATGGAGATGGACAGCAACAAAGACGGGAGCATTTCTTTCGAGGAGCGCTCCGGAAGCCTCGGTTGACTCGTTTTTTCTTTTATTGTTTCGCCCAGAAAAGAAGAAAAAAGGAAAAGGGAGAACACCGGAAAAGCATGTAGAGTGAATAAAAGTGTGTTATTTGTTTTTGCGCCTCTTGGTTCAACACTGCTTTTGTTTTTACGAAGATGAGTCAGGCTTCCTATGACTAGAAGAGCACGCTATAGGGGTGAGGGCGGGCAACTGTACAGTGTTTGTGTCGTTTTGCACCCGGGAGTATTGCCTTTGTCTTTCAAGGATCGGTCCTTCTTAGATTATTGATTCTCCTCTCGGCATCAAATGGAGGCTCAGCCAAAGGTCTGTTTTTTCCAGGTCCTGGAAGATCAAGTTGGTGTCTCCATATCTTGGTGTCGCTGCGTGCATGTCAGGAAGAAGCGGTAGAGAGATATGTTTCAACCAATACTACTTTTGAAAGCACCCACAAGGTTTGGGAGCAGCCCCCGCAATCCGATTTTGGAGAAAAACAAGTTTAGCTTACAAAAGCTTTAGCCAATACTTGTACCAACGCTACTCCCTCTCATAGTTTCAAGGAGTTTCATTCCAGATCTCAAAGTTTCAGCCGGGCAGAAACAGCACATTCATAGTCATGATTTCGGTTTTTGGGGCTGCATGAAGTCCCAAGTGTCAAGCACACGGTCCAGATCACAGCCTCTAACAGCGCAAAGAGAGTGAATTTCTTGCATTCCTTTTCTCGGGGTTGAAAGCGTTGTCCCTGTGGATGTGTTGTTCGGTGTGTTGAATTAACGCTTTCATTTTTTTCCAACAGCTTTCTCTCCTAAATCAACAAAATCGCGGGCAGACCCCAAGATTCGACTGACACGCTTTGAGTCAAGTCGCGCGTTTGGTCAGGGCTGAAAATGATGGGAGGATTTCAATCGCATAGCTATGAGCCAGTAGCAGAACAAGGATTCAAGCTCACCGTTTGGTTTGAAGGTAGACGGCAGCTTTCATTCATTCACGTGCTGGCAATGCCCCTTGATATGACAGGACAAGTTGCATGAGGCCCCTGGCGATCTGGTGCACATATCCAACTCAAAAATGAAATGCAGTTGCATCCGGAAGTGGTATTGCAGATGGGCCATGCTGTTGCCATGCGAAAAGTGGGAGGCAAATCAGCACCATGCTCAGAGGAGTTCATGGATATGCTGCACGGCCAAGCTTTGCCACAGAGGCGCGGTCAATCCGCGAAGCTGGAAACAACAATCAACAAAATTGATGTCGCCGAGCAAGATCGGACCAAGTCGGCAATGTTCTGAGCAGTTTTCTGGTGGCCATGCTGCGGTCTTACCTGCGCTTTGCGACGAGCTAGCCAGATCAGATGATAAGTTAATTCCTCCTGTCCAGCACGGCTAAAGGCCGAGCAGGTACAGTGATTTAGCGCACCAGCCACAGTCTCTATTACATTTACCCTTGTTGACTCACTGCAGAGATTGATTCATGTTGATATTTAGACAACTGACAATGTTGCGTGTCCGTGGTTGGGGTTGGCCATGCTCGGAGCTCGACCACGGACCCAATTTTCCCGCTTGCCGTTCGGCACGCCATGGAAGGCTTTATGGGAAGCGTGACACTGGAATGCCACGCCATTCTGAAAGCGTCAGTCGAACTGTTTGAATGATTTGACCGTGACTGGCCGCAGCTGCTTGCTTCATTCCCGTGTCAAATTTATCTTGCGCCAGAGGCTTCTTGATGGATCTACCATGCTTGAGGTTCGCATGGATATGCCACGTGTTCCACCAGAGAACCAATCAATGGACGCGCAGACAGGTGTCTTGATGGCCATGCGCTTGGCTCAAGTAATCATTAGTTACCCCAAATCAGGTGCGTGGAGCACCGTTGCCGCCGGTCCGGCGAACAGCCTGGCACACAGTGCAAGCATCTTTTGCTGCACATCGGCAATTAGGCCGTGGTGTGCTATGCAATGGCGATGCTTATCGAAGCAGAATGCGGCTTCACGCAGGAGGGCGACTGTCTCTGCGTCGTTGGCTCTGACCAGGCTGGTTTAGCGGAAACACTCTGCAACAACAGCCCACTGCAAGCACGGGATGTGGTGATCATCACAGATATGCAAGCATTGCCATTCCAGGACTGGCTTCAGGCACAGATGTCAATTCTTACATCATTATTATTCATGATTTCTCGATATTTATGTGTCCATCCAAGCTTGTACCAGCCATCCAAAGCAAGCTTGCCCAACCAGCCCAATATCCAAGCTGAAGCGTTTGGGGAGTGCTGGCAGGTGTCCACTATGCCTCTGTGTGTGCGTTCCTTGTTTTGACGACATTCCCGCACATAGTATGCCGATCGCGCCGTATATAATATGTATATATATATGTATTGTACGTTCTTTCTTGTGTCTCTCTATGCATCCTGGAAAATCCAAGTGCCCAACATGTCTTGGGGACAAGGCGGCTTTGGGATTCCCACTGATCGCTGCCTGGTGCTTGCCCAATCGAATCATTTTGGTGTAAAGGCGGTGTTAGTCTGTGAAAAGGCGGCTTTAGTCAGTAAACCGGCGATGTTGGCAGATAAACATCTAGGTCCCCCAGTAGTGCCGTTTGACCCTTTTTTGGGGGGACGGTTCCCCTACTAAAATAGACTACAGAAAAAAGGGTACCCTTATTCTAACCTCTCTACTGGAGGACCTAGACATGCTCAAACGCTCTTTGGCCGGCAACAGGGCACCTTGTGCTGAATGATTCAAGCGACACTAGGTCAGGTATGTGCTGTTGGATGGGCAGCATGGGCTTTTCTCCAGCTTCTTTGCCCAGTATTTTTGGTGGAAGCTTTTTGTGAGCGTTAAAACGGGGGGTCGGTCTGTCACTCCGAGATTGTGCGCGGCCTCGAGGCCCTCCATTTGGACTGGACCCACGCTTCGCATGCGGAGTTTGGGCCCCCGAAAAAAGCAAGGCACCACCGAGGGCAATTTGGGACTGGACCCATCGGCACAAATAGTCAGTCCATTTTGGAGGGACAGGAAGGAGGCACTCGTTTTTTCCCTGCAAAAAGGGACGCACTTCCTGATTTTCTCATGCCCATTGAGGCGGGTTAGAGCAGTGAGGTCTCCTTGCGTCGCCGGTTTCAGGCGCTGGGCAGTTGGGACGTGACCCGCAGCCGCGCGCTGCGCACAGGGCCTCTGCGGTTTCCCATTTGGGAGCTGCAGCTGCCGGGCGCTTGTCACGGGGAGTTCAAGCTCGTGGTGCGCAGAGTCTCGATTCCCAGAGGGGAGAGAGGAGAGAGGGGATTTCGGAGGGAAGAGGCAATACCAGTGCTGGTTGGTCAGGGTAAATGAAGAGGAAACAACTGTGATTGGTTGGTGGAAAAGGAGCACATTTTTTGGTTGGTGGAGGAGGAGGTCAAGGAGCACACATGTTTTGGTTGGTTGAACATTGTGAGTCAAGCTGGATTGTTTTTCTTTCGCAGGCAACCAGCATTCTATCCAAAGTGGAGGCACAAAAGCGAGGCATACCAGGCAAACCATTGGAGGTCGCAGCTCCTTTTTTGACTTTGTTTTGCTTGGGTCTTCACAATCCCAAGCAACAAATCCCAAGATGCAGGGTTTCTTTCACAGTCTCCAAATATCCATCAAACTTTTGGATTTCTGGATTGTTGCAGTGAGAAGTGTTTTTTGTCCCTAGGTTTTTCGACTCATGGTTGCCCCATGGTTTGTCCACGGCGTTCGCATTTTTACTTATTTGTTACACGGTTTTCTCGTTTATCCATAGGTTGGCGCGTTGTTTTCCAACGTTTGGCCCCTCCCTGTCCACTCCAATGCTATTCCTACACGTGTCCCATTCTCTACAAACCTGTTGGGAAGCGCCTTTTGTGGATTTTGCCTGTTCTTCCCCGTGTTGGTCCTTTTTTGTACGCTTTTAGTGCTTGATTCAGATCCTACAGGGGTGGATCCACAAAAGCCACATCCAAATCGGTTTCTAGATGTTGCAATATTTTCCCCAGGCCATTCCATGTTGCTCCTTAGGATTTGCTTGCCGCAAGGCATCATTCAGGGTCAGGAAGACATAAGGAAACTACCGGAGTCATCTAGCCTGCATTTTGGGTGAAGAGACCTCATGTGTTTTTTTTGCAACGCAATTTAAGAGGGAGAATCCTGAAAAATGATTAGTGGACATAAATCCCCATCAAATGAAGTCCACCAAACATTCTCTCTAATTAAAATTCAATCCCATATACACAACTTGGTGGCTCCCAGCCATCCCCTCAGCTTGAGTTTTGGGGGTTTAGAAGTAATTTCCATTTGACAAACTGAAAGTTCGTCATTTTTAGCGGAAGATCCGAACACGGGGGATCCACCCGGAGTGAGAAACTCAGGAAGCCGCGGCCATGTCGAGTGGGAGGAGATCTCCAACCGCCAGTTTCCCAGCTTAGCACCGCCGGGCAGCCGCCTGGCCACTCGGCGGATTTGCTTTTCTAGGACCCCAGTAGTGCCCTTTTACCCTTTTTGGTTGGGAAGGTTCCCCTACTAAAATAGCCTACAGAAAAAAGGGTACCCTTATTTTCACCTCGCTACTGGAGGACCTAGTTTTTGGGACCGAGTGGAGGCCAAGAGACCCAACTTTCTTCGGAAAGACCAAATTTTAGTGTCAAATAGAAAGTCTGGACTTTTTCTGGATTTTAGTGGTAAATCAAACCGTCTGGACTTTGTCTGATTTTACTGGTAAACAAACCGGCTGGACTTTTTCTGGCCAATCTCCCCTGGTTTCCGTGCGTTGAACCTACCCCGCACCCCCACCCCCCACGTCCCCGCCCCCCAACTCCCCAGCGCGTGCTTCGGCGAGAGGCGATGCGCTTCAACGACCCGCGCCTGGAGTTGCTGCCGCCCAGCGAGGTGCCAAGAGCTCTGCGCCTGGGCGCTTCTTTTTGTCCGCCGGGGGCTTAAAACCAAAACCACCCGTCGCATTTCTTCATAGGTTGACATTCTCCCACCTTCGATCCTGCACCAGTTTTTTTTGTGTTTATCCCATGTTTCATAGTGGTTCATGCTTCATAGGTCCCCCAGCAATTGGTGCCCGACCTCTCACCCAACTTGTTTGGCTGGAAGGGAGGGTGGGGAAGGGTTGCCCTTCTAAAATAGACGTCCAGAGAAAAGTTGGTACCCTTCTCTACTGGAGGACGTAGTTAAAGCAAAACCCCCCGCCATGGACGCCATGGACACCTGGAGCTTGTCCTTGGTGGTCGTTGCCGTTGTTTCTTTTTTCTTTTTTTTTTGGGGGAGGGGTGTTGTATTTTGTTTGTTGGGGGGGAGGGAGGTGTTTTGTTGTGTTGTGTTCTTGTTTTTTTTGGGGGGAAGTTAGTTTCTAACGGAAACAGGAAGGAAGGAACACCAAGCATTCCACATTTGAGACGGAACAGGGACTTTTGAGTTTTTGATTCAACAAAAAACCGAAGGGCACTTTGAGACAGACCTCCAAACGGGACGTTGGTTGCCTTTGGCAGGCGTAGCAATGGCAAAACAGAATATTTACATATTAATAACATGTCCGTCGTTCAGCTATCCAACGAGAAGACAAGGAGGGCCACTAGTCGAACATAGTAACGTATTCACCTAAGAACCAACAGCAGCAAGACAAAATGTGCCTGCAGGGGCAACGAAAGGATCATCCAAACCCGCCTGCCGCATGTTGCTCATCAAACCATGCCACTCAAGGTGTCCCGCAATATTCATAATCAAAGGCCCCTCCAATGCCTCCCCAAGTATTGTTGGTTCTCTTGAATGATAAACATGACGCACAATCATCAAATCGTCTTTACGCCTTCTCACTGCTTTCGGAAATGTAGTCCCGGGGCTGGTGCAACAATTGAGCCAAGTTTTTCATCGCTCGGGTTGGGCTTTCCCTTCCGAAAATGGGGGGTCTCAAAGCGCAACCACTGAGAGATTCAAGCAACCTGCTAGGGTGAACGCCTCAAATCTTCTGTGAGGCTAGGGGACGCCATGTCAGTGTCGCAATCAAGAGTCCCGGGTAGTTGGGAAGGGGGACAGTCCCAACCAGAATTCTCGGTGCGGCCTTGGCAACTCTTGGCAGTGTGGGTTCACTGGCTTGTGCTTTCAGTATTTTTTTTGGCTTTGCCAAGTGTAGCTTGAGACTTGAGGTGTGAATCACCAGTTTGGTACCGATCGTGCTTGAACTCTATCTCAGTGGTTTTTTGGAGCTGCGCCTTGCTGCGCGAGCTTACCCTTGTAGCTACTTGGTTTGTGTTTGAATGGATGAAAGTCAATGATTCCTTGAACAACACCACCTAAAACAATCAACTATATTCATTACAGAATCATTTGGGTGCGCCTTTCCTAAAGGGTACCCCTTTTATGGGGGTTTTAGTTGTGGGAAAGAGACATCCATGGATCAACTTCTCAGGTTTCCTGAAAAACGGAGCCGGCTCAGGAGCTTGCCGATACTTCCGCTCTTTAAGAATGACTCCTCGCGAAGCGAGTGTTTCAGGCGCTCCGTGGGGCAAGTTTCAAGTTGGATGAGATTTCAGGGGGGCTTGGTTGCATGGTGCCAACCCAGCGGTACTGTTTCGGACAGACTCGAATTGCTCTGCCTATGAAATTTTGGCTTTCGGGCTCGCCGATATGGGCGGTAAGACGAGTGAACGCCACGACGTAGGGTACTTTACTTGGATTTAATTCTTATTGGATGCGTTTGTTTGGCATAATGTGTGTGTGTGTGTGTTTGTGTGCTTTTTGCATACACATTTCGCTTTTTGTGTCTAGGGCCTGCTCCAGCCGCCGTTCATTGCAAGACCTGGATCTTTGGACCAAATACCTCTGCTGGATGAGACACGGAAGTTACACGTCTCAATTTTCATGGAGGCATAGCACCTATGTCGTACCTCTCAATCTAACCGTTACAACATAAATAATTAATTAGACATAGAAATAGCATGTGTACAAGCATAATGAAAGAAATGAAATAATAAAACCAAAAGTCAATGAGAAAGTGATCTCAAGAATAGACACGCAATAGAAATTAGCTCGTTGGAAAGGAATGGCAACAGCAACAGCACTCGCGCTGGCCACATCATTCCACTGCTTGGGCATGAGTACCATTGTAATATTTCAAGTGTATTCGTTGAGTTCCGGTCTCAACACTAGTGGTGCTTGTCACTGTTCCGATGAGTTCTGCAATAACATGCCTATCAGTGATAGCTCAGGTTGAATCAATTTAAAGGTTTGGCAATGTGTGCGCGTGCTGCGCGTGTTCAACAAGAGCCGCGTTATTCTCTTTGAAAGGACGCCTCGTCTTCGACGAAAAAAAGACACATGCAGGAGTTTGGACCCATTGAAGCAACGATGAGGAACAGCCTGAAAAGGATTTCATTTGTTTGCTAGGCATTCCTGGGGTATTACTGTGACTGTTTCTAGGGGTTATCAAAGGCAGAAACTGGGGTGGTGTCCGTCTAAGCCACCACTTAGGGGGGTGACTTTGATAGTGGTAGAATAATGCGGCCAGCATTCCCACTGCCTGATTCCAAAAACCAGGGATTTAGATGGGCACGAGCCTACACCCGCCACTGGCAGGTCTCGATTTATTTGCTCTGGGCCAGAGCCGGAGAAGCCAGTCACATGGCGTGAGAGAAGTTTTTCCTTGAGATAGAACGAATCTAACCCGACTGCCGACTGTTGGCCACGAACACTGGGAATTGGTATGTGTGTGCGTGTGTTGGCACGTTTTGTCCACGGAGGATTTTGCTTGGTGTGGTTCTTACCTTGATTGGCGTCAATCTGCTTATGCGCTAAGATGTGGAAGAACTCTGCTTAGCAACTAGACACGCTCAATAATTGCGACGGACATGGCTGAAAAAACACACGACGCAGCTTGGCTTGAGTAGATTCGCACCAAACTCTCGGTGTAACGGAGGCTTCCCTGATTGTGAATGTAGGCAGAGGCTGCCAGGAGATAGAAGACTCCATTGGCTTTGGGCACTGGCTGGCTTTGCGCTCATGCCTGTTGTGCTTTAAGTTTCATTATGTAACGTTTGCCACCAACCACATATTGCAATTCTGTCAGCCGATTCTCGATCCGCCAACCAATCGAATATTATTCAAAATTCCCCAACCCATTTTTGTTTTGTTGTGCGGGATACAGGCCAAACAATCACATCGTGTGGGGCATGAGGCATCATATCATGTCGGCAGGCATCATATGATGTCGGCAAGCATCATATGAGGCCCGCTAGGAACACTCATATAACTCTCGAAAAGTCAGCGAACCGTTGCTGTAGTGCCGATGCAAGGTCTATGAGTTTTATTTGTTTCTGGCTTTTTCAGGTGAGTGACACTGTCCAATTTATACGGCGCACGTAAGTCGCGCTCCTTTGCTGCATGGTGGTTGACCATCCATATCTTATGCCATAGTCCATTTGATCGTATAGGATATACTCTAGGTAGCTTTCCCATTCTTTCCAGGATCCTTCTTTCTGGAAAACCACCAAACACCCTGGGGAAATGGCGATCGGTTTTTGAAAAGAACGATGGCTGAAAAGAATGGAACAGGAATCAACTGCTGGAAATACATGTACTAGGTCCCCCAGCTAAGTGCCCTTTCTCACCCCTTTCTTGGGGGCGGGTTCCCCTACTAACATAGACTACAGAAAAAGATAAAGTTGGTGCCCTGATTCTAACCTCTCTACTGGAGTACCTAGGTGGCCTTTTTGGTTGGTTTGGCTGGGTTCATGATCACCTGCAAGATATTCTGATCATAGGTGGTCCTTTTTGGTTGGTTTGGCTGACAAAATAAGCGGGCCCTGGGTCTACCTGGGTGGCCTTTTTGGTTGGTTTGGCTGAGAAACAGCGGGCGTCGGTCTACCTGGTGGTTCAATGATCTACCAGGGCCATCTATTGTTTCCAAAAAGGACGCCTAGGCCAAGGATCCTCCTAAAGGAGGTTCCTCACCTAGCTGTTGCGGATCCATGTCGGCAGTCCATTAGACCTAGTGATGGCATGTCCGAATATTCGTTTTGCAGGCCACAAAAAACATCCGTGGATGGTACTTACGATGTTGCCTCTCGGTGTTGTGCTCATACACTTGTGGGCAATGGTTGTGGGGGTGCGAAGGAAATTGTCTGTTGGGAAGTCTGACCAGGGGCTGCTTGACACAAGCATGGATTCGTGCGCACAAGATCCTTATAAGTCAGATGGTAGTGGTTTCCCTTGTTGTAGTGGAGCCAGTTTTGGACAGTTGGGCGAACTCTGCTTTAAAGTGACATGCCGTCGTAGGAATTCAACTAACCCCTGTACCACAGAAAGAGGCACTTTTTTTCGACGACCATGTGAGTATTTCCAGAAGTAAGGTCCCCGCCCGCGATTTTCCTTGGTTCATATGTATATGGCTATGAATTTTAATGGGGAACCACCTTTAAAGTGGTTGGTGGACATGAATGCCCACCTAAATGATGTGCACCATTTCGGGTCCCTAATTAAAACTCATAGCCATATATATATATATATATATATATGTATACATCTACTTATATAAATGTATATTGGCTCTATAATATATATATATACACATATATATTTACATATGTGCCCTTCACATATGTTAGTTTAACATTGGTCTTGTATTTATATACATACACATGTTTGTACATCCATACATATTCTTCATATTCAGATACATATGTCATATGTCCATGTATATGTCCATGCGTATGTTAGTTTTACATTTATCTACAGATGTTTCCTACACCTGTTAGCTTCATATTAGTTTAATATGCATATACATCTGTGTTTATCCATTTATCTTGGTGGCTGCCAGCCATCCCCTTAGCCTTTTAGTTGTTTAGTGTTTAATGGTAGTTTCCATTTGACCCACAAAAAGTTAGTCACTTTTAGCGGGGGATCAGAAAACGGGCAGCCCAGTTATATACATAGTTCTACTTTTATCCATGTTTCCTACGCGTATTGTCTCAATATTAGCTTAACTTTAGAGCCTCCGGCTCAGTCCGCCGACATTGTCCTCTCCCTTTTCTTCTTCTTCCCTCTTCCTTGTCTCCCTCGTGCGTTCTGTCGTCCTCTCTCCCTCCCTCTGCTCCCCATTCCCCCCATCCCCCCAAGCCTCTCTCTCCTCAATCGCCCTCTCTCTCTCTCTCGCTGTCTCTGTTTCTCTGTCTCTTTCTGTCTCCCTGTCTCCTTCCTGTCCACGCCCCTCTACAGAAAAAGGGCACCCTAATTCGAACCTCTCTACTCTCTCACTTTCTCGCTCTTTGTTTTTGTCTCTCTCTCTCTCTCTGTCTTTCTGTGTCTCTCTTTCTCAGTCTCCGTCTTTCTCTCTCTCGCTGTCTCTCTCTCTGTCTGTCTCTTTCTCTGTTTCTCTGATTCTGGCTCTGTCTGTGGCTCTGTCTCTCTCTCTCTCTTTCTGTCTCTCTCTCTGTCTCTCTCCCGCTCTCTCCCTCTCTCTCTCTCTCTCTCTCTCTCTGTCTCTCTCTCTCTCTGCATTGCAGCGTCACGTCCCCCCCTGAGTTGCCTCGATGTCCGGGCACTGCCCCTGCATGGCCCTGAACTGTCATCTCACTACTGGCTTTCCCCCTTCATGTCCTTGTCACGTTTCCCATGATGTCCTGGTCCTGTCCCTTCCATGCCATTCAGCCCCCCCTTCATGTCCCTGACATTTTCTCGGTATGTCCGCTTCATTTGCCATGTATGTCCCGTTCTTTCGTTGCGAGTCATTTCCCTACATCTCCCGTCGTGCTTGGTTTCCTTGTGCTTTGTTTCCTCTCCTTCCCCCTGCACTCCCCTTGTTTTCATTTCTGTCCCTTGCATGTCCCTTTCAGTTCCCCTTTGTTTCCCTTTCATGTCCCGCTGCTTTCCTGTCATGTCGACTTCCTATTTCCTCCCCTCATTTCACTTGCACTTCCTTGCATTTCCCCTCTGCTCCCCAATATTTCCAGCAAAAAACACGGGTTTTCCAGCGTTTTCACAATTAGGACGTCCAAAAACACAGAGTTTTTCCAGATTTTCTGCAAAAGGAGGCAGGAACCCCAAACCAGCAAAGAGCCGGCAGGGGGAATCGAGCCTGGGACCCCTGTTTTGCGACACCGGCTCCCCGAAGACTACGTTTAGTGGAACGTCATCAAATTGCCGCGCGGTCCTTGGGGCCCCCCCCCCCCACGTATCAGACGTCGGGCGGGGGGGGGTTAGGGGGGGGGTTATCCTCTATCCTCTCTTAGGTGTCCGACACGCCGAGCAATGTCGGCGGATATGTGTATACGTTTGTGTTGTTTTTTCCATTTTTTTTTATACAGTTTGTTTTTGGTGCTTGGTTCACTTCGGCTTGCGAGAGCTGAGGTCATTGGTGGCCGCTATCAACTGGAAGACTCCACCCTTGGTGAGGGAGGCTTTGGCTCGGCTTGGGGCGCCCAGAGATGCGCGACGTGTTGTTGGGGTGGAGGAGAACGTCTAAGGCCGGAAAAGTCAGATGGGAAGGTGTGAGCCCTTTTTGGATGGTACAAAAAGGGAAACCAAAAGGACACCATCTGGAGAGTCCCCAATTTTGAGAAACACAGATGGCAAGCTCACCAGGGCGACTGTGCAAGTTCGACACACACCACACATGTTTTTCCAGGCGCAGAATCCATCGGATTTTGTCTGAGGCGTGTATCTAATTTGGAAACGCTCAGCGCCTAGTCATAATGGAGATTTACTGGAGTGTCTCTCTCTCTCTCTCTCTCTCTCTCTTTCCCTCCCTCTCTCTTTCTCTCTCTGTCGCTCTCTCTCTCTCTCTCTCTCTCTCTCTCTCTCTGGCTCTCGCTTTGCAGAGTCCAACTAAGAAGGTTTCGGTTCCTTGGGCAGTGTCCCTGAGTGGACCGGAAAGCTCCCTCATGTGATGAATTTGGAGATTTCACTTTCACTGAGTTGTCTCAAGCAGACCCTGTGACCGTCCAGTCTAGTTGTGCACAAAAAAGCCCGTTTTAGTCATGCCCTTCAATTGATTAGCCTGCCTATTTCCAGATCCATGGGACAAGGACAAGGTTGAATGATGGCGCACTTGGTAGGCCCTCTGCTTTGAACAAGTCAGGAGTCACGTTTGCCATCCTCGAACAATAGGCGGTCTGGACATGAGGGTTAAATTGATAGGCACCTTTCAAGCGCTCAGACACGGCAACTGATTGATTGGAGGGGTCCTGCAACTCCGTTCCGCTCATTGTTGAGCTCATGGGTCACGGGTAGAAAACATGTCGAGTGCAGTCCTCAGTTCACAGGGTTCGAGGGAATGACCCCTGTTTGCTATAAACCATCCTTTGTTTTATATTCAGATGACCAGGTTATGGGTAACTTGGATTGGTGAAATTCCGTCATACTGGCTTCCATTTGCTTAATTGTATTATGTTCCCCTGTTGGTTTTAAAGGAGATGTGTCACTACTGGATTTTGTGTATGTGTTGTTTTTCCAGGTTACTGAAGCCAATGGAGGTTACGTTTTTTGTTTTTCCGTTTTTTTTGTGTCAGTTTGCGGGCTCATTTGCAAGCCACAACTGGAAGCTGCCCGACTCCTAGGTTTTTAAGGCCTGGGACAGGGCCCTGGGCACTATGCGCGCGGCTAAGCGTGTGGAGACCCTTGGAATGCACTGAACCGCTCACTCCCCGGGCGCTCACTGAACCCATACCCCTTTTTTAGGGCTGTTTAAGGGCAACCAAAAGGAAAAGGGGCCATTTTGGGGGTGCCCTAGAAGAGACATCCTTCTTTCCTGCTCATGTCTTCACGCACCAGTGCCGAATTCGTTTATTTTAAATATGATTAGGTGCCCTTTTACCCTTTTTTGGGGGAGGGTTCCCCTACACGGTACCCTTATTCTATCCTCTTACTGGACCGAGATGATTTGTGGGTTGTAAACGGAAGCGCAAAGTCCTAAGGCCTCAGTTGACGCTGAAACAAGCTTGCAAGAACCGCAGCCACGACCCCTTCGGGAAAGGAACTGCCGTTTCGACGGCCGCGGTTCGCCCGCGTTTCGTCCGCAACTCCAGGTGTTCTCAAGCTGAGTGATGCTGGCAGTGAGCTTCGTGGGTTGCGGTTCAACCTGATGATTTCTGTTGTGCTTGGGAGGTTTTCTGACTCTTCAGTCCTTTCGTTGCCGTTGTTAAGCTTCAACCGGATGATGATGATTTCTGTTCTTCTGAGGTTTTCTGACTCTTCAGTCCATTCATTCCATTCGTTCTGCTCAAGGAGTTTTCGATCTCGCGGCCGAGGAAGACCCGGGGCTTCTCTCTGATAGACGTGTTTCGGGAGATCGAGATGCTCAAGGCCTTAGATCATCCCAACATCGTGCCGCGGCTCGAGTGCTGAAGTCGTTGCTTCTCAAAGCTTATTTTGCCGGATCCAGTTTTTGTTTTTTTTACTAGCCCCAGAAAGGGCTTACCCCCGGTGGACCAGTTGGTTGGTTGGAAGTCCAACTGGGGCTAGTCAAAAAAAACCGGCGCTAGTAAGAAAAACCAGTGTTTTTTTCTGGCTTATTGTTGGTTGGTTGGTTGTTGAGGCTTATTTTTTTTCTGGATCCAGTTTTGTTTTTAGTAACCCCCGGTGGTTGAAAGTCCAACCAGGCTCAGTAAAACGCCGAAACGCTCCGGCCTCATTTGCAGTGTGAGGTGCGGCTCTATGCCACCTGCGAGGACGAGCGCGGCTCGGAGTGGCATTATTCTCGGGCTGGCCGTTTCTCGTTGTTTGAGGATGCCTCTTTTGGGTGGCCTTAAAGGGAAGCTAAAAGGACACCCACCATTTTGGATTCCCGACAATCCGATGACCACAGCGAGGGCTGGCTAAACTTATTGAGGTTGGGACTGTCTACTCGGGCATGTGTGTTTGGACCGAGCCCGAAATCATGACTAGGTCCCCAGCTAGGTGCCCTCTCTCTCCCCTCTTTTTTGGTTGGGAGGGTTCCCCTACTAAAATAGACTTCAGAATCAGGGTATCCTTACTCTAACCTCTCGACTGAAGGACCTGAAAAGTGCAGACAAAGCATCCACTGCATTACCCTTTTCCAATTGCAGCGCCAAGGATTGGCATTTGATTTTGTTAGTCACCTGATCTGCGGTTGAGCGTACGGCTTCGTTGGCTGCGGCTTCGTTTCCGGTGATCTAAAGAAGTTAGGAAAGATGCCCCCAGGAATGAGGAGACTGAGACAAACCAAAGGTTGTTCACCTAGCGAAATGGTAATGTTCCTTTGAATTGCAAGACGTGCGTTTGTTTGCGGTTGGTTTTGTGTGTGTGTGTTTCTATGCATGGGTGTGTGCCTGTCTTTGAATGTGCTTGTGTGTACCTTTGCGCGCGCGTGTGTGTGTGTGTGTGTGTGTCTCTGTGTTTGTGTTTGTGTGTAATTATGGCTGAGTATGTCTTTGTGTGTTCTGTGCGCAGATTTCTGTGCGTCCATGCGTGCCTGCGTGCTTGCGTGCCTGCGTGTGTTTGTGTGTCTGTGTGTTTGTGTATGTCTTTGCCTGTGTCTGAGGGTGTGCCTGTTTCTGTGTCTGTGTGTGTCTGTATGTTTGTCTGCGTGAGCCTGTGTGCAACGCGGCTTGTGAAGCCACCTATTCATAGATCTTGATTGGCAAGAGCCTCTCATGGAATGTTGCTGATGGTTTGCCCAAGATGTATCCAAGGGATGCCTTTTTGAACTCAGTCTTTCCTTCTGGTGTTCTTCTGGTTTCCTTCTGACTTTTCATAATAAACATATATGGTCCCCATTCTTTCCAGGGATCCGTCTTTCTAGAAAACCTTCAAACACCCTGGGGAAATGGCGATCGGTTTTTGAAAAGAACGATGGCTGAAAAGAATGGAAAAGGAATCAACCCTTAGAGGGTTACTAGATCGCTTGGGTGCAAAAACCCAGGGAGGACGTACCCTTCTGAAACAAATTATATGGTGTTGAAGCTGGCTTTGCCCAAGCTCAAGGAGCCATTGCTTTCGGATGCCTGCCATGCCAAAATGTTTTGCGGAGCTCCGGAGCTTCGGAGGCTTTTTGTATCTCATCATGGAGCTCTGTGAGGGCGGTGAGCTGTTCGACCGCTTGGCGGATGCCACTCACCTCACGGAGCCGGTGGTGCAGGCACCAAAACATATACTTGCAACGGACGGTCCGTTGCAGTGATTGAGTATACATTGTGTTATTGATTTGGATGTTGTCTTGATTAATAAAGTATTGATTGGTGTTATTGATGAACTATATTTATTGATTGAGGATATAGATATATCATTGATTGAGCATGTTTTGGGGTTCGGTTCTCAAACATATTTGTTTTCGAGGGGGGGTTGTTTCCCTTTAAACCACCAATGAGATGGTAATTTTGAGGGTGCCTCTTTGATGGACCAATTATAACACGCTGGTTGTGGCTGGGTGAACGGTTCTTCGCACCAATGTGGTTGTGGGTCAACACCAATGGGATCCCATTTTGGGGTAGGTGCACCACCCGTTTTAGTCTATTTTAGTGAGGATTGGGATGTTCACTGGGGGTATGGGCTTTTGACCCAAGCGATCCCACCCCACATGGTAAGCGCCCCCGCCCAGCACCCCCGCCCAAGAGCACCCCCGCCCAAGTGATTCCGCCCAAGTGATCCCACCCAACACTGGGTAAGCACCCCCCCCAAGTGATTCCACCCAACACATGGTAAGGGTAAGCACCTCCGCCCAAGTAAACCCGGGCCCCCAAATTCAGAAAACGCGAAACATGTTGGGTCTCCAGAAAAATGTTTTTTGATCGCTGAAGATGGCTGCGGCCAAGAACACTGAGAATTCCCATGCAAAGCCATGAGTAAGCATTCAAGAATGGTTGTACAGGAAGCCACACAAAAAAAAAAAAGGAAAAAACGAAAACGAGATGCGTGATGACCCACGCCTGCCGTGTTTCCAAAAAAAAATGGCACCGTGCGTAGGAAGCCCCTTCTTCCGCTGAAAGTGGGCAAAAACGCTAGGCGAAACGCAATTTCCTGTCAAAAAAGACCGACGGATAACGACCCGGCAGGATGTTTGTGTTCATCGGTTTTTGGCGGCACCCGAAGCAAAAACTATGGCCAAAGCTTTGGATAAACAACATGTATTGGGTCCTCACCAGCTTTTTCCGGCCCAACTTCTAGCGTTGGAGCAAGCCTTTTCACTGTTCGTTGAATGGGGAAGCTGAAAGGCAACCAGTCCCCGACTGTTGAGACACCAAATTCACTCGACCGTTGTCATGCACCTCATATTGAGTGTACTTACAACTGGCTCCAAGCCAATGTATATTCAGTATACGTGATGGTTACCCCCTGTAAAGGCCCCCCCCTTCAAGGTCGACAAGGCTTGAACAGGCGCCCAAAACTGATATTTGTTGGATGCTTAATCTGGAGCCCCTTCGTTCGTCCTTTCACTTCTGGCCCCTTCCCAGTTGAACTGGACATTGGAACCTGACCCGCAAAAAAAAATCGGGTCTTGCCTTGGCCTACAGGCAATAGGACTTGACATTCGCCGCAGTTCCTTTGACTTGAGCCTTTTGTGGGTTCTCTTTTCCTCGCGGGGGGGCTGTTGCTGGCCAGCCGGGCTGGCCTTCAAGGAGAGTCTTAGCTTGAACACCTGGTGTTTTTTTTACATAAGAATTTTTGAAAGAAGAATGGTCTTTTGAGGGAAGTACCTTTTTTTTTTGGGAGCACTTGAGAGAGATTGTATAGTGGTGTTCTGGTGGGTTTAAGCAGTAACTAAGCAAATATTGAGTAGAAAGGAAAGCTCCTTTGCCAGGTTTTTCAGCTGGCCGGGGGGTTTTGGGGAGGCCCAAAGCATGTGGGTAGGGTTTTTTTTGGCAAACCTTGTTGGCCCTTTGCTTTAGTATTGGTGGGAATCTGGGAGGGAAACGGGGAAACCTTTAATTGCGGGTGGTGTACTAATTGTGTACATACATAAGTCTGTACGCCTGGAAGGTCCGCCCAGGAAGGTCCGCCCTACCCATGCCAGGTTTTTGGTTGCACGGTTTGCCCACCATGTTCAAAACGATCGGGTAAGTCCAACCAGTCAAATCAGGGAGAAGGCGGGTTTCCCCTGTTCACGGGTTGCCGTACCGAGGCGGCCGACCCATGTTTTATTCTCCTCATCTTTCATCGGAGAGCAAGATCTGTGCAAGGCTTGAGCACAAACATGTTGAACAATGAATGCACATGAGCAACGATCATGTTTTCCCGTCATCTTCGGTAGTTTTTGGGGACGACATGAGGTAGACTCACCAAAGTGCCACTAGATGGGAGTTACTTACCTACTTCCCATGTCAGTTGGGAGCACAACGACTATTGACCGTGGCTTCCATGCTTCATCCTGTGTTGCTTGCTTGACTGCTTTCTCGCTTGCACCTTGCTTATAGAGTTGCGACTGGTCAGTCAATCAGTCAGTGGGCCAGTTGGTCAGTCAGTCAGTCAGTGAGTCAGTCAGTCAGTCAGTCAGTACTTGCAGATGTCCTTCATGCCAACTTCGCAGAGGTTTTATGAGAGGCCATGTCATTTTGTTTGGTTCGAGGGGAAACCAAGGAGAAGCCTTTTTGGGGACTTCCGATTGGGGGGGTTACCTACCTCCATTTTGGAGTTTCCAGCGGAACCTGCCTCCATTTTGGGGGCTTCCCATTTGCCTGAGAAAGGACCCTGCGGCTAACTTCATCATTCTTTCCAGGGATCCTTCTGGAAAACCGCCAAAAACCCTGGGGAAATGGCGATCGGCTCTTGAAAAGAACGACGGCTGAGAAGAACGGAAAAGGAATCAAGCCCTAGAGTAACCTCCATCTGCTCAAGTCCCCTGGAAAAAATAGAGTTTCCAGTATAGCGACACATCTCCTTTAAAACCAACAGGGGAAAATCAAAAACCTATTCTTAAGCAAATGGAAGCCAAGATGACGGAACTTCACCAATCCAAGTTGCCCATAAACCTTGGCATGTTTATATGAAACAGAGGATGGTTTACAGCAAATAAGGGGTCATTCCCTCGAACCCTGTGAACTGAGGACTGCACTTCAACATGTTTTCTACCTGTGACCCATGAGCCATCGTCTTTTCCGCTTTGGTTTCTGGCTTTCGCAGGTGGTGATGCGACAGGTCTTCGGAGCCGTGGCCCACTGCCACAGCAAGGAGATCGTCCACCGAGCCCCCAGGTTGCCTAAGGATTTTTACGGCGCAAGACCTGGGGCAAACCACCAAAATGCCATGGGCTGCCGGCGCCACTTGAAGAGTTCCTGGACTTGAGTCACTTTTTGGGAAGGACCATTTTTTGACATTTGAATGGTCAAGAAGCAGTTTGGACTCGTTTTGGCCTATCACCCTTTGCTTTCCTTCTACAAGTGCCATAAGAAGGGTGGCCTCAAAAAAAAAGTCTGACAGCTTCTGGAAACGCGGGACGCTTTGCGCTAGTTCGAGGCCCATGAAGGTCCTGGGGATCAGTCAGGATGGCTAGCCACTTTTCCGAGGCGACCAACTTTTGGGTTGCTCGGGAAAGCCAATCAGAAACCAAGCAGTCCTCGGAACCCACGTGTTCGGCTTGGACACCTTGAGACCATAGTTCATGTTTGTGGCGCAGCAACCGTATCTCCGGAACAGGGTTTGGATGTGGCTTTGGTGTGGATCCACCCCTGTAGGATGTTAAAAGAGCACTAAAAGAGTACTAAACACAAAGCGACAGGGGGAAGAACCGGTGATCCCACAGAATATGACACTAGCGCATGGATTTCAGCAATTCGTGGGATCCATAGCGAAGTGGGAGACTCGGACGGCAAGGTCCAACTGGGATTAGTGAAGCGGTTCCCGCCCCCCTTCCCCCTGTACCAATGGGGGCGCCTAGAATAACATCTTGAGTTCCAGTTCGAATGAGTCTCTATTTGAATCAGTATAGCTAGACTTGAGTTTCCTTTTAATTTAGTATTGCTGGAGCTTCCTTTTGATTTAGTATTGCTGGAGCTTCCTTTTGAGATCTGGAACTGAGTTTGTACTTCTCGAACTTCCTTTCAAGCATCTTGGACTTGAGCTTCCATTTGATATGGTATTGGTGGAGCTTTCTTTTGAGATATCTGCTTGTATTTATTTATTGATTTATTTGTTCGTTTGTTTTTATTCCAGTTGCATTTCTTCATCCTAGGTTGACATTATCCCACATTCAGTCCTGCACCCGTTGGTAGGTGTTTATCCCATGTTTCATCGCGGTTCATCCAATCCCATGTTTCATAGGCTAGGTCCCCCAGTAGTGCCCTTTCTCACCCCTTTTTTGGTTGGGAGGGTTCCCCTACCAAAATAGACTGCAGAAAAAAAGCTGGTGATTACCCATATTCTTAACCTCTTTACTGGAGGACCTAGTAGGGGATTTTTGGCCCACAGCTTGAGGATTTGAAGCCCGAGAACTTCATTCTGCAGAAGAAGGGCCCAGTGGAGACATCGCCCATCAAGCTCATCGACTTCGGCTTGGCCACGCACCTCGCCTCAAGAACCGAGCCCAGACACCGCGCGTCTCTCCCCCCCCTGTGCTTATTCCGGACTCTTTTCGTGGTTCGTCCTGGGCTTTCCAAACTTGACTAAAAGCCTGAACCACACATTTTTCTGGCTCCATCTAGACAAAGCCAGTCGTTTTGGCTTTTCCTCGGTTCAGATCTCATCTCAAGCCAATGATTCTGACAAAACAACATGGCGTTCTGAACCAAGCTAGGCTAGTGAGCGTTTCGGACTGCGACGGGATCTAGATTTTGCAATTCCATTCACGCGCTTATAGATGTTTTCAATGCGCAAGTAGACAGTCTATGGTTGAAGCTTTTCATCGTTGTTTACATCAGCGTGAGCACTTCCTCTCATTTCATGCAAGAGACCCACGGCGGGAAGCAGGCGATTCCAACGCCGATGCCCAAAGATGCGGCAACCAGGGCAACACTAGGCTGAACACCTGTCACAGTGGAGATGGCATGACCAAGAAAAGCACTTGCTACGCTGGTGGCATAGAAATCAAGCACTGCGGTAATGGCTGGTATGGTGGTATGACCATACGCAGTCACTTGCTAGATCGCACCTTTGTATTTGAGGATATGCAGTATGATACTTAGGATCCTTAGGCACAACTGCGATTCTTAGACGCTTTGGTGCCGTGCACTTCGAGCTTGGCCGAGTCGCGCCAAGGCACTGTGGCGAGGGCGAGAGTTTGAATGACGCGTTTGGCACTGTGCTCTACGTGGCGCCGGAGGTGTTGGAGGAGAAGTACGACAGCGGCTGCGATGTGTGGAGCTGTGGTGTCCTGATGTATTGCAGCTTGGCAGTGGCAATTGCCGCTTGCGCGGCGAGGGGGAGGACCCGGAGGACCGGCTTTTTGGTGAGTCGCAGTGCGAGTGGCTGACGCATGTTTGCTCATAAACTCCAGCTGTTGGCTTGACGTCCTAAGTGGGAAGGGATTGCATGAAGGGGACTTGCAGTGCAAATGCTGGACAGGAATCTGCAAGGGGCTCGGCGATGCCTCAGATTCGGGGTCAGAGATCGTTTTCTTCCGACTCTTCGGGAAACCTGAAGAGTCCAAAAGGGTCCATGCCAATCCCAGTGGTACCATTTCATGCCCCGCTTCAGCTACTAGGTAAATCACTACTAGGCGCAACAACCGCCGGCAGCCGGCAGCGAATGAATATGTTCTGCGGATACAGCCGCAGCTCCAATGTTGAGGGTTGAGTGCGCAGGGTGGCCTGTCAGTCCGAATGTTCAGGGTTGAATGCCCTCAGTTCCAATGTCCAGCTGACCAGCAATGTTGGATGTTTGGATGCCCGCCCGTCACGTTCCAAGGGTCTGTAGCTTAAGCCTGGCTCAAGTGTCCCGAGTTGAGGCTTGCTTTGTGGATCGCCGCCTTTCCACGGCAAAAGTCAGAGTCTTGGCAGAAGGGACTTTCGGGTCGTGCGGCTTCCTGAATCTGGATCCGGATGAATGATTGTGAGGCAGTCGGAGGGTCAAGCGGCCTTGCTATCTACCAGGGTTTCGCGTCATAGGCATCACTCGCTCATTTCAGGTTGGCTGATGAATCAGCCTTTGCCTTCTTTCCATTGTCGCCCGGCAGCTTGTGATGCGTGACATGCAGCATTTTCCAGCAGACTGGTTGCTGTGGGTCGTGATAAGCCTGCAGCTCATGCAACATGCGGCATGCGGTGATTGTTTGGTTGCTGAAATGCCATCAACAACTACTGTTGGTGTTTTTTTTTACAATGGATCGTTCCAAGAACCCGGTCGTATATAACATACGTTATCAGCATGTTTTTTGGTGTGTGCTTTCGCAATATAGATCGCGTGTCTAGATACGATGCTGTCCACCACGAATGGTTCTCAGAGTAAACCTTGTCAGAGCTTAGCAACATGAATAGGTGTGTGTGTGTGTGCTTTTTGCCCTCAGGTACCTTTCTCCCCTTCAGGTGTCGTAGATGTTTTGAAACGGCGCCTGTTCTGAACATGGTGGGGCACCAGCTTCTTCCGGGCAGGGACATTTGGATTATCAGATGACGGACCGCCATCATCCTTGCATTTGCACATGTCATAAGTTGGGAGTGTGATATATGACAATATGTTGCAGGAGCGGCTAGGCATTGTCCTTTTTTGCAGTTGCAGCCAATAGCTTCTTACAGTTGTGCAGACTGCTTCTCAGCGAATAGCGACCTGTGACGGCACCGATGTGGAATTTGGTCGAGATGGCTCGTTGCATGTTCTAAGTGTGGTCAACAGCTTGGTGGCTGTCCATTGCGCAACCATGGCTTGCCGCTGATTCTTAATGACTCATTGAGCAGTTCTAAACCGAGGAATGAGATCTTGAACAAAATAACGCGGGGGCGTTATACGATGAGAGGATCTCATTGGATGCCTGTATCCAGTCAGGCGGGGCGAGACTGGGGGGGCTGGAATTCCCAGTTCTTTTGTTTGCCTGAAACCTGAAGTCCACGATAGACGCACTTCGCAGGCTTCGTGCTCCTGTTGTCGCCTCTGCTGCTGCGGCCTGCTTTGGTCAATTCACCATCTAAAGGCCTTTCAACCTTCGAAGCATGGTTTCTACTTGCATGGTACTTGGCGAGTGAACCTCTATAATCTGATGGTAAGTTGGCGATTAATCATTGTGCCCCGCTGCTATCAAGAGCACAACGATTGACATGGTGATTGTGATGAAAGCCACCCATAAGATACCGTCAGGTGTGTGTGTGTGTGCTGCTTGGAGTGCTTGTCCACAAATGTTTACGTAGCGATGCCCGGGTTGTAGGCAGGACCTTTGCTGGGCAAGAGCAAGTCGCACAGTGCGCAATAGCTGGTGCCGACGGACAGTTTTTGGGAAGCTTCGGCAAAAGTTGCAAGGGCAAGCTGAGCATTGTCATTTCTGGCTCTGGCTTTCCCAGAGTGACACTTCAAAGCAGGCGCAACTTTGCACGCATTCGCATCGCGGAGAAGCCGGCCATTGACTTCCTGCATTCAAGACGATGTTGCTATGTGCAGAACGTGGGTCCCTGGAAGTCTTTACGCATGAATCCGACATCTCGTCGCGTAGGAAGGACCCATGTTTCATGACTTGGTATATCTTCGTACCAGATTCCAGCTTGACTGTCCTGACTCATCGGTCCAGCAACTCGCAGTTGGTTGGTGCTCCAACTTTGGTCGCATGTGCCGTATCGAGGTTTTTTGACTCATGCTTTCACGTGCACATGTCTGTGCCCTTTGGGGTCTACACATCGGACTTTGGCGACACGCTCAGCTTCAGCTGCACTTGTGGCTTACAAAGCTCAATGGCTTTGTCTCACAGGGGAGCCTCACACGTGGCTTGGGTAATGCTGACCCCATATTCCTCAACCCCAGTTGAATAGAAGGTGTTCCCCTCCAAAAGTGGTCTGATTCCAACCACTAAACGCAGGTCGACCCCCCCCTAGCAACAAACAGGGCTCGATGAGTATGGAGTCGGCACAATCCACCGTCCGCCAGGCCAAGCACCTGATCTCCAGATGCTTGCAGAAGGACACCAAGCAGCGCATCACTGCCGCTGGGGCCTTGAACCACGAGTGGTTCTTCAGCCGGGAGTCAAGTCCTGGCCTGCACTCGCAGTTACTGAAGAACCTGAAATCCTTTTGTGCGCCTCAGCTGATACAACCGCAAGGGAAACGCCTGCCGCCGTTTTCGGTGGGGGTTTTAAGCCGCCTTGGCTTATGATACCGGGATCCCCGCCTACCGATGCCTTTTGTGGGTCAGCGCCCACCATAACATGTTTGAGACGAGCGCACCATGAGCCGAGCGCTTTTCGGAAATATTTACCGATTTTTTGGGGTGAGCTCACCGATCCGGGGGTAAAACGAGTGAACGCCATCATGGTCCTTTTCTTGATCCGATTCTTATTTCAGGTATTTTGAGGTTTTGGAAAAATTGGAGAAGTTGTAAAACTTTGCAGATTCACGCAGAAGTTCTGCCCCAAAGGGCTGATTCTTTGCTGCCAATATGTCCAGCACGAAATATCATGATATGGTATATAGAAAGGCCGAATCATTTCTCCCGTACCACTTGCAACATGGGGGTCCTTGACTTGCTTGATGAATCTTCTACTTTCTGAACTGGAGTCTGTGAAGCAGCCAAGTGGCTTTGTAGTTGAATAGTGCAAGTAGCGGCGCACGTTCGCAAGCCGTTGGAAGTGACAGCGAACTTGCAAGCGGCACATTTAATTAGGCGTGTGCTTTGCGCTTGGTAGATTTGTGGACTATACTTATGGGTGATCAGAAGGTCCTTGCAAGGAGTTGTGTTTCTGGTGACCATTGGTGAATGGCTAAGTGTCTCCGTGAAAGATCCGCGATCACGAAAGTAACTCTTGTTTTGGACTAGTTTGGTGACAATTATTAAACCACCAGGGAACCGCAGTTTTAGTCCATGTTTCGACTTACCAGGGTTCCATTTGAGCTGCAGAAGTGCCGATGGCTTCTGAAAGTTGATTCACGGACGCTACAACTCTTGTGCGTTCAGCCGTGCTGCACACTTTTTCCACCAATCTCACTCTGGTAGCCCCTGATTGGTTTCACATCTCCCAAACAAGCCACCTTTACCATCCCGGGCCTTGAAAGCGCGAGATCAGAATTTTGAACTTCCAGGCCATTCAGGCGAGTGTAGCTGGTTCGGACCAGGGATCGTGTTGTGTCTATGGAAGGCCCAAATCGCAGCTGCTGTAACGGTCAAACTGATTCGTCATTTCCAGTGCCAGCGTCGCCCGCCTGCGAGCCATTCCGGTAGACCTTTCTTTCCACTAGCCCATGGAACAGGGTACACCATGGCCGCATCGAATGGTCTTTCCGAGCGTGACCAGCTGGTTGTCCAACTGGCGGCTTCTTCTTTGGAGGATAGTTCTGTCTGTAAAAGATTAACTTCCCCAGGCCTTGGAGTTTTACGGGGTAAGAATCATAAACCGTTGGGTTTCTGAACGGTGGTGCGGTCGTACGGTCGTCCGAAGCGACTCCGATACGGCCAGAGCCGCAGGTCCAGAACCGCCTCAAGAAGGCGGCCATGACAGCAGCTGCCTACCACCTCACCGAGGCCCCCAAGCGAAGAAGCGTCCAAATCGATTTGGATTCCCAAGTGGTGGGTCAAAAACAGGCACCCAAAACGCAACCCTGATGGAAGCATGGACTACACCCTGCGGTCTTTCTGGTGGTTTCATTTTGAGCCACAACCAAGTGGGTGGCGCTCGGTTCCCTGTCTCTTTGGTTGGCACCCCGGTTGTGGCGGGATTTGCAGACCCAAATTCCTTTTTTGGGTTGGTACCCCGGTTGTGGCGGGATTTACAGACCCAAAGTATTTTTTGTCTTTTTTCTTTTTTCGGTGGGTACCCCGGTTGTGGCGGGATTTACAGACCCAAACGAAAACTGAAGCCACTTTGGGGGACACCTAAAAGAAGACACCCAAATATCACCAAGATTCGATTCTAATTTTATTTTCAAGGGCCCCTACTTTAGCCAGACCCCCGTTCGGGCCCCTATCTTGGGCAATGAGGCAGCAAACAGAAAGAACAGCATGCGGCTCAGATACAAGCAGCATGTGTCTCGAAGTGCAGAACCTGTTTCTTGCCGTATATCCTTTGGGCAGTGTGGCCTTCACATGCAAGACCAAGTTCCGGGAAAAGAGTGAACATGTGCGCGAAGTAGCCCTGAGCCTTATCTCTTGAGGGATGTTTATGCCGCTCTTGTGAAACTTGACCGGCTACCTGGCAATATTTGACTTGTCTCAGGATATGGCCATGGGTCCAAATCCCGTACTTCCAGTGAACATCCCAATCCCCACTAAAATCGACTAAAATGGGTGCTGCGCCAACCGCAAAATGGTACCATTGGTTTTGACCCACAGCCATATCTTGCGCAAGTTGTAGTTGTGAGTCCAGGTCACACCCACCCTCTCCCAGGTACCTTTGCACCCCATGTTGTGGTATATTGGGGCGGGGGACTCGCCCAATAATGTTTTCCTTTGGGATTTCCTTCAAAAAAACACATCACACACATGAATTTGTCAAAAAGCTGATTTTGTGCGCGTGCAGAAAGGAAGAGCAGCACGAACTGCGGCGCGTCTTCAACTTCCTGGACATTGACTGCGACGGCTTTGTGACATTGGAAGATATGAAGCGCGTCATGGAGGGTGATCTGGATATGAGTGCCCCTGCAAAGACGCTGCGGTCAGGGTGTGTGCTTTCTGAAGGGAATCCGAGTTGAGAAGTGCGGGGGGGGGGGGGGGACGCTGGAATGATTGCAATCAACAGTTTGATGGCAGAGATGAATGCTGCTGAAAGACACGGCAGGAGTTCAGATCTTCGAGTTTTTAGATGCTCCCCTTGGACGACTTTGAATGCTCAGAGGCCCTTTGAGCTGCTCGTTGACAGTCAACAATAATTTCTTCAGCAGTACCACCTGAGGTGATTTTATCGCAACATGGGCATGGGTCAAAATGAAACCAACAGGGGACCGCAGGGATTAGTCCCTGTTTCCATCTACCGGGGTTACATGTTGGGAACCTATTTTTGACCCACGGCCAAATGTTGTTGCAATTTGTGCGTTCTATTTCCTCCTGCTGGTGCCATGATCAAAGGCGATGAGCCGTTCGGTTGCGAAAAGTAAGGCTGAGCCCTCGGAGTCAAGGTCATTCATGTGCCTTCTTGAAACATGGCAGATCGGATTTGCCCCATGCGTGCCCTTCTCATATAATATGAATGCTCCATGTAAAAATGGATGACGGCACGAAAGCAGACGTGCCATGCCCAATTTCCCATTGACATGTTTGTGTTGAGGCCCACTGAATGTGGCACAACTGATGGACGACTTGGACCGCAATCAGGAGCTAGTGATGGTTGTCCACCAACCTCATGGGAAAGGGCTCAGGAGAAATCAGTGATTTGTTCTGTATGCAAGCTTGCCAGCAATAGTGGTGAGTCGTGTGCAAGCCGGGCTCAGAGTGCAAACCAGTATTTGAGTTTGGCTGAAGCAGCATGTTTGTTTCGTGCCCAACGGAGGCTTTCAGTCTGGGTTTGGTTTCCAGGGCTAGCACATCGATTCTCGCACGGATTGCAGAAACGACCCTGGTATATCCCCACCTTTAAAATGGAATTAGGGGAGGGGGTGAGTCTAGAAAATTGAAATGGGGCCCCCCCGTCCCCGACAAGGTAGGGGGGATGGTATCATTGGACTGTGCTGGCTCCAGAAAGTGACTCAACTGGGTTGGGGTGCGTTCATTCGGCTTGACGTTGTTTTGTTGACCCAAAACATCACTGTCGATAGGAGGTTGTTTTTTTTGGGAAGGTTGATAAACATGACGATCCTCCATGACATAAGGTGGGACCATGGCCTATGCGGAACCGCTCTGCAGAGGTGCAACAGAGACCCTACTTAAAATCGCTAACACAATTCGCCCTGCACCTTGCTGTGGTTGTTGTGTTGACTCAACAAGCCAATCGCACGTGTGCACGGGATGCGCTTTTTGTACAAGCTGCCAGGGCTCTCTTGCCATGTTGACAACTACACGCAGTGCAGCCATTCAACACTCTCAACTCCAACCTGCTTGCAGCTTCTGGGAGGGGTTAGGTGAGTTCTGCCTCAGACTGCCCGGTACCAAACAGCCGAGGAATCATTTGAAGTGCCGTGCAAGTGCAGCAAGCCTCGGTGCTCAGGGCAATGCCAAATGGGTGTGGCTCAAAATTAAACAGGAGGGGCAAACCGCAGGTCTTGGTACCCATGTTTCCACTACCCGGGCAACCCATTTTGGAATTCTCCGGCTTTTTTTGAGCCGCAGCCACATGTGAGTCAAATGCGGACAGCTCGACAGCCTTCAGGATGGCCGCTTGGAGTATACGGAGTTCATCGCCGCTGCTATGGACACTTTGGCCGTGAAGTGAAGTCGTCAAATTGCCAAGGCCACGTTAGTGACAGACCTGACCTGACCTGACAGACCTGACCTTGTGACCTTGAGGGAGGGAGGGAGGGGGGGGGAGGGGGGGGGGGGAGGGGGGGGGGAGGGGGGGGGGGAGGGGGGGAGGGGGGGGTTTATTAATCCGGGGTATGCATTAGGGTTCAAGCATGCCCAGAATCCATGGCTGCGCTCCGTGTGCTTCTTTTTTTGTTGCGGGGCCTTGGTGAAAGCATTTGGGCGTTTGAGTGTTGAACTGCATGCATCCGATTAAGGTTGTATTCCGGCACGCCTTTGTGCTTTCCACGAGTCACCAATCATCCTTGCTCAGGATCAGCGCTTGGACAAGAATGAGGCTTTGTGCTGGCGTGCCTTCAAGGCATTTGACCGGGACGATGACGATATGCGACTTGCACTAGCTAGCAATCCTGGGGCGAAGTGTCGCGGCGACATGTGAGTGTCTCTTTTCAGGGCACCTTATTAGGTGAAGAATCAAAAGGCAGGACGAGAACCACATCTATGTTGGTGTCCCACCATTTTGCCCAATTTTGAGACAAACCCAAGTCCAAGTTGGCTTTTGGTTTAGGAGCCCTTGGGTCGGAGAGGACCTCTACAGCCTATACATTGTAGCACAGCCTATATTAGCCTACACAACCAGATACAACCAGTAAAACTTTTTTTTTGTAGAACGAGCTATGTGGAGAACGTCCTCGTGCTTGCACGTGCAGGTCAGCTTGCTTTCGGACTTGAGAAGTTACCAGGTCTCCTATCAACTTCCATTTGAAATGAATATTATTATTATTTTTACCCTGCTGGTTTCAAAGGGAATCTATCACTACTGGAAATATGTTTCTTGTTTCCAGAAAACTTAAGCAAATGGAGATCAAGATGACGTCGCTTATGCTACGGATGACGTTGGCCATGGCCAAGGCTGCAAGGAGTCTAGACCACGTCTTCCGTTTCGCAAACGAATGCTACGCTTTGTGATGCAAACGGACTGGCATGTGACATTGGGCGTGGATAACATGGCCAGTGAGTAGTTTGCGCAGTTGCGTTGATATTGATAAGTAGTGCACTTTGTTTCTGGATTCACCCTTGTTTAGATCCAACAAAAAATGAGGATCGCCCTTTCAACGTCTCCACTATAGCTGGATCGCACCCCCGGAAACCAAAGCCTAGTGTCGTCATTGGAATCGGTTCTAACCACTCAGCAACTCGGTTCCCAAGGTTTGATTGGACGTATACTAGGTGACGAGTCAAAAGGCAGGAGCACGTCAATCCACGGGCACGCTTGGTTCATGGGCTGTTGATTTTAGCCAAGAGGTAGAAAAGCGAGAACTCACGGTTGCCTCGCTTGGGATACAATTGAACAGTGCGCGGTCCAAATGTCGTACTTAGTAGAGCCCAGTTGTCCGTTTGTGCCTGATTTTAAAGCTGCACAAATCGCTTGGCGTTGTTTGAATGACCCAAAGATGATTTGTGGTCATCCGCGGAGCAGTGCCGGACACACTTCCCTTTGACCAGGAGGGAAGCGGAATTGTGATGAAACTCAAGGTGACCAACTGCGGCTTTTCCACCGATTTGGGTGCAGTGGCACCGCTTCGATATGGCCATGGGGTCACAAGCCCGTACCCCCGGTGAACATCCCAATCCCCACTAAAATAGGTTCTCAAATGGGTGGTGAATTCACCTACCCCAAAATGGGATCCCAAAACGGTGCTGACCCACGGCCATATGTTGGCAGTGCCTGAGGATCACTTTTCCAGACCTGCAGCACGTCCTGCAAGACCCGGACCTGCTCTTAGAGGTTCCGAACTGCAGGACGTCGGTTTTTTGTATTGCTACCTAGGTCCCCCAGCTAGGTGCCCTTTCTCACCCCGTTTTTGGTTGGGAGGGTTCCCCCACTAAAATACCCAGAGGGTCCAAGCACCTTGTGAGGATGGCTTTTGGGGGGTCAAAAGGGTCTAAGGACACCCTTAGAATCTAAGAAGGTACTTGGACCCTCTGGGATAGACCAAAGAAAAGAAGGGTACCCTGAACCCTAACCTCTCTACTGGACCTAGCTACGTTGCTCAAGCGATTTGGCCAGTCCACTGGCTGGTCTTGGGCTGAAAGCGCCGGCCGGGTGAGCTTCATTTCCGTGAAACACCCAGAATCAGGCAGGCAGAGAAAGGATATATATATATATATATGGGGGTGGCACAAGTTTTGGTCCATGTTTCCACTTACCAGGGCAAGCCATGTTGGTACCGGGTTTTTTGAGCCACAACCATATAATATAATATATATATATATATAAAGCATTCCCCAGAAATCTTGGTGGAAAAGTTGGACGAATCTTTTCCTTGGTTCAGGAGTGCTTGGGCCTATTTTGCTCGTATGGATGTGGACGGCGACGGCCTTGTGACTTGGATGCCTTTTTTGTCTCACTCGCCAAAAACATGAGCCGGTATCTTCTATTGGCCCGGTTGTACCGGACCGTTGGTTGCTTGCTTGCTTGCTTGCTTGCTTGCTTGCTTGCTTGCTTGCTTGCTTGCTTGCTTGCTTGCTTGCTTGGCGGACAGGCAGATTGGAAGAGCTGGGCAACTTTGAATGGAGCTGTTGCGCACACAGTTGGACTCAATCTTGGGGTTAGTTTTCGGTGGAATTGGTATGTGTTTAGTCAACCATTTAGGCATGTGTTGCTTGGATTGAGGCGCGATTTGAGTTGGGTTTGGGGCTTGAGCTGCAGTTGTGCCCGGGGTTGTTGGAACTAGGCCCCCCCAGTCCTTTTACCAACTTTTTTGGTTGGGAGGGTTCCCCTGCTAAAATAGACTACAGGAAAAAAGTTGGTTCCCTTATTCTGACCTCTCTACTGGAGGACCTAGCTGGGGTTGTTGCTGGTTGGGAGTTGGAAGCAACGCGCCAGCTCAACCTTCAGAAATTTTCCGCAAGCAGCCCAGGTGACCTTTGATGACTTCATGCGCATGCTGCGGTCACAGAACACGCCGGCGACATCCTACAAGAAAGTAAGCTTTGGGATGCCCGGCCACCCAGGTCTGGTCAGGGAAGCAACGGCCATTTGCCTCGGGAAATCTTGTGTTAGTTTGGGTTGTATGAGTATGTTGGCTGCAGTTTTGAGAGTCGGTGGTGGACATTTCAGGTGGGGGAACCGCGAGCAAAAGGATTGTTCCATCATCCAAGGACGATGGCATTCCATTGCCCAGGCATGGCCTTTTCTTGCTCTAATGTGCAGTGAATTGGAGCCTGCTGCCAGCCACACGTCGCTTGTTGCCCCAAGTAGCGGCGTAGCGCGTGCGCTTAAAAGCGCGTTATGGTCTCCATGGAGAGCACGGTTTGCAGCTTGTCAGCCCAGAACCCTCGAACAGGGATGGAGAACAACTCGGCAGTTTGCTACCCGAGAGAGTTGGTGGGTGTTTATCTGGAGAAAGCTTAGCATCGCGTGGCATTTGTGGAACATAAAGGCTGTGGGACGTACCGCATGTTGGTTGAGCTCCGATTTTTCGCAGATGGGCCAGGGATTGCTGGAACCCGAGGAGCAGCGCGGGATTTGTTTGTCCTGGCATCTGCTCGTGCGACTCGTGCGTAGCTTCTTTGTTTGCTGAATCCCCGAAGAAGACTGTGGCGGCGGCAGCAAAAACAGCTTCAACATGCCCACGGAAGCAACGGCTCACGCAGAAGCTTTGCGGAAGGGCTGGCAGATCGGAAAATGGCAATATGGGTGTGGCTCAAAATTAAACAGGAGGGGTTACGCAGGTTTTGGTCCATGTTTTCACTTACCAGGGTTCCATTTTGGTACCGGTTGTTTGAGCCACAGCAATACCTGGAACTTCCGTGTTGCGAAAAAAGCGCCGTTTGCTGAAACAGCAATAATTGTCGCCGGTCCCACAAAAAAACGTTGTTTCAAAAAAAAAAGGTCGTCAATGGCACCTGTTTCACTTGAAGAAAGGGAGGGGGGTAGCATGGAAGACAGGATCGCCGCCTTCTTTTTGCCGGCCTTCGCCGCTCTCCCAGGTTGCGCGCAATGATGCGCAATTCACAGCAAAGCCCAACAGCACCACAGAAGCATTGCAAATCGCAATGTCAGTTGAACGGTAACCTCTCTTGAAGGAAAAAAGCTGCACACTTCAACACAGTTGGCGTGGTTGGGCCCGCTGTGCGGATCCAAAGCCTGTCTCGGCCTTGGGCTTAGCACAGTGTCCAGCGTCAACCACGCCGTTGCCTGAAACGCTTCAGGAGTATGCCAGCCTTGACTAGAAAGCACTCAAGTACCCGTTGTTGCATTAGGCGACTGCTGACTTTTCTGGATAGGGTACAAACCCTTCCAATAAGGTCCTCGTTCTGTTCGCATCCAAACAGCATTGGATTGAGGATGAACGAATGGTTGGCTCGAGCAGCATCCAGAAGTTCCAACTGAACGTGCTTCAGATAATGAAGCTTTGGCTTGAGGCCCCATCCATTGAATTCAGAACGCAGAGTCTGAGCGGCCAACCAAGCAAAGCCTCGCAAGAACCCAGACGCTTGCTCCTGCAAGACAGTGGCGCAGTCTTTCTGAAGCCAGATTCCATGTGTGTTCTGGACCTCGAAGAATCTGATTGCAGAGCATGCTGTTTGATACATAACCTCAAACATGACGCCGTGGGTGGGGTCCTGCAAGTCGAACTGCTGGGTTGCCGAAAGTGTCCTCAGCCACTGCAACATCAGCATCGTGTCTGAGCCTTTGGAATTACTCCACGGGAAGCTCCGACTGCTCTTGTAGTTCATGAAGCTTTTCGTAAAGGACCTGAGGGACATGGTTTTGTGGTTCGCGTGGCAGAACAGCTTGAAGGACCCAAAGGCTACCCCCAGTTTTGCAGCCACATCGCCAACATTGCCGAAGTAGCTGTGTTGCACAAGCCACATGACGGACGAGCCCACAAAATCCCTGAAGACCCCCACCTTGCAGGTGTGGAAGACGTCGATCTTCAGGATTTTTTCTGGGACCCCCTGGTCAAATGGAAGCCGCGCCAAGCACGGTGAGTTGGCATGGCTCCAAGGCCTGGACGACCACATCGTCGCCTTCCAGGCTGGGTCGTCCGAGAAATCCTCGTAGGCCAGCCGGGCATTTGACCCAGCAAGGCAAGAGCAGCACATCGCGCGATCTCGAACCCGGCCCTTGTTCTCGTAGCCCCTGATGAGTTTCCCAACCTTTTTCAGCCACTTAAGGTCTCCCTTTTGGCCTACGATGGCGAACGCCCAGGTGGTGTGTCCAACTCGCACCCCCTCGAAGAACAAAGACCTCAAACTGTCCACAGTCAGGTCCATGAGCTGGGAGATCAAGGGGTCGTAGTCTCGGTTGAGCGTGGCCGGCACAAGCCACAAAGGCCAGTGTTGAAGGAAGGAGTGCCCAGTCATGTTGGTGCACTGGCTCGAAGCCGGAAGTGTGTTGTGCCTATCTTTGTAGAACATCGAGTTTCCCAGTTGCACCTGCGGAGCGCAGCTCTGGCAAGTGCCATATCCCCGCCTTGACTGTTTGTTCAAGACAGTGTGGATTCCGACAGCCGCCTCCAAAGAGACCACAGCAACATTGGCCCGGCGAAGTCCTTTACCTTCGTCGCCATGGACGATGAGGGGAACAACGTACCCAAGAGAGCCTGCGTGCTCACTACGAAAAACCTCATGCTCGGGGTGTGCTTTTTCATAGCACCTCCAGAAAAGCTCCAGAGAGCGGACGCCCTCCACTTGGTTGTCAAATCCACCCCAGCAAACTTCCGGAGCTTTCTCCATGATGTATTGGAGCAAAGAACGAGGCTCCAAGTAAGGCACATTCATCGGGCCATCCTCAGTCTGCATCACATAGGTGCTCTGCTTGACTTTCCACCCCACACCCAAACGTTTCAGATGTCGGTGGGCATCCCTTGACGCGTTGCTGTACTTCTTCTTCTTGTTTGCTGGGTGAGCTCCCCAACGCTCCTCCAAGGAGCCGTGCCTCATCTTCTCCAAGGTGTCAGCGGGCACCTTGGATCGTGGTTCCAAGTGGTCCGTTTCTTTGGCGGTTTGGAGTTGGGTCAACCACCACTGTGTGGAGAAAAAGCTTCAAATGGGTTTTGAGGAGGACCAAAAACCATTTTGATTTGGGAAGAAGCTTCAAATGATTCCTCGTTGGGCTCCCCCTACTTTGACACACCTGGCGAAGGTTTCCAGGTCCTGGGTTTTGAAAACAGCGATCGACACACCTTGCGACAAGATTTCAATTGGGCCCGTGCCATTGAGGGTTCCCTTTTTGAGCCAGTTTTAACCAGAAGCAACAACAGTTTTGAGTCTTGAGGGTCCCTATTTTGACACACGTTGCCGGGACAAGGTTTCACATGGTCCGTGTTTTTTTATTTTATTATGGGGCACCTTTTCATGGCCCCCCACCATTAGACACACCCTGGTTTCAATGAGTGCTTGAGACGGTACCCTTCCAAAACCAGGTTTTAAAGGGCGCCAATCGCTGCGGGACCCTCATTCTGACATTTGACACATGCCCAATTCCAGGATGACAAGGCTTGGTCGCTGAACTCAAGAGCATCCTCATTGTTCGCAGATGGTGCCACCCATTGCCAAAACTCCCAACTGCCATGCCAGGCAAGGCCGAGAGGGCTTTCCTCCAACACCAACAAATTACATTGTTCGGGTTGGACTCTCAGCTCTCAGAGTGGTCAGTCAGCAAGTCTAAGAACAAGGCTGCATCGGCAAGGCCCTCTGCGTAGGCTAAACCAAATGGCCCAGCTTGCGCCTGCTCTGCTTCTTCAGCAAGGCCTGGCCGTTAAGAATTTGCAGAGCATCCCCAGCAGTGCAAAGTCAAAACTACTCACGCTCTTGGAAGTTACCTGTCTTTATGGCGGGACAAAAAAGGTGCCATTGACTTTTCTAGCCGGCAAGGCTCGCGCCTTTTGATCCCCCAAGCCAACTGCCATGCAGCCGGCCCCCATGTCTGAAGCCAATTAAGCTTCACACGAAACTGTTTGCGCTGGCCAGGGCTCCTTCCGCAGGATGGACTTGGTAAGGGCACCAACTCAAAGTCTAACTGCTAGTTGCAAGCATAAAGTGAGGTGTGTTCAATTCACTGAACTGCTGCCCCTGTCCAAAACGAAGCAAAATCAAAATCATTCATTTGTCAGCCTTGTCGGCTGGCTTCGCACGCTTCTTCAGCTTGGATTGACCAGCCTTTGGCTTGGCCGCTGCAGTCTTTGCCCCAGCACTGACACGCCTTTTAGGCGCTGGCTTCTTCGCGTTCACGGCAGGCAAGGTCGGCCTGGAAGACCGGGGTCGGGGGCGTGTCAAAACTGTTGACTTTTACTCCGAGTTTGTTTGACCATTATTTCGCCCATCAGTCTTTTCAGAAACAAGTAACTTCTTTTGGTCTAAAGAGATGGGTCCCTTCAGCCCCCAACCCCAATAGATTCCCCGTTCCGTTTTGTCACTGGGCTTGTGGAAAAAGGAGCAAGGTCCCCTCTGTTCCATTACAAAGGGCGGGTGTGTCCCAGCCTTGCCCGGGTTTCCAGACTGAGAGCCTCCATTGCCCTGCAGCCACAAAAGCAAGTAGCTGTGCACCATTGGTTTTCAAAACAGCAGTCCTGGTTTGGGCCCTGTGGAAATACTGCCGCATTGACTCCTCGGACCTAGGCGCATTGAAGGAGTTTGTGCTATGTCCCAATCTCGTGGAAACCAACTGAGTTTCAAGCTCCTTGGTGAAGCCGTCCACAACTCCCGTCGTGTAGAGGTCCCCAATGCTTTGCGACACTTCTTCCAATGAGGCCAGCGTGTCCCGGAGTTTGGTGCCCATACTTAGCATACAAGCACATGGCAGGTTGTCACTGATGCCGCACACACTAGAGAACGGGTTCAACTTGTTTGTGTTCATACTTCCTGCGAACACACAGAGTTTCCGGAGACTACTGCTTTTTGAGAAGCCTACTAGAAAAAACACGGAGAACTGATCCTCCAGGATTTCATGGCCGCCGCTCCTGAAAATGAACATTGTGCTCCTTGAAAAAG